ACAATGTTTTCTAGGATCTTCGCACTCTCTGTCTGCTCACGCTGGAAACAATTTGATGCGACTTCCCTCACAAGTCACAACCTGCCTTTGAACCAAATGAAGTCAATTCCAAAAGGAAGCCAGACCAAGATTGCTTGCCCTCATCCAGCCGCTTGAGCCATTTGGGGCTACGGACTAGCTGACGAAGCTAGTATTTCCAGCCTATTGCACGCACCGCCCCGACAGGGGTGGTGGCCTTTGATATCATGCACCGAATCTGTCACTTTTTTGTCCCAGTTTCCGCTCAAACTCATGGGAAGTTCGGAGTACTCCGGATGTGACGGTGGATGCAGGGGCCAAATCCAACAGGGAATCCTATGGGCCTGGAAACAATTCAGATGCAGAATAAGTTTATTCTTATTAGTTCTTGCGGGATACTTTTGTTGATGCTCAGTTCACTCTTCGATTCTGCCCCAAGTCCATCGCGATCAGGCTGGTAGACTCTACTGGAGATATATTTTTACCAAAGCCCGACTACGGTGGTTTAATCCCATTCCTGAGTTGCTTGAGGCTCACGCATATTCGGCCACCATGTCCTTGGCACGCACGCCTACTGGCTTGCCTCGTTCGAACACACTTATCGATCTGCAAGACATGACTACACAAACGCAACCTGTCCGTAATGGCAGAAGGCGGCTTCAGCAAAAGGACCAAACCTTGACTAGACGAATAACTAGAGCTGTTGTGAGCTATTCCCCCTCAAAGAGTTTCTTCGGAATAATAATAAGTCAACCGCAAAGTTCCGACGTGATTCGAATTTCAAGGAGATATTCAAGACGATCTCCGGCGACGAGTCCCTGGAGAAGAACTACCGCAAAATTGCCCAACGACCCAACCTAGGCCTAGTTGATCAAAGATTCATATATAGAGCGACCAATGCGGAGAGTCTTGAGTTTGAGAAATTCGATACCTGCTCTGCGTGTTTTGAGCGGTTACGCTCTTCTGAGGAAGACAGATGAGGCGACTGCGTTCGGAATCTGCCTCAATACATCCCACACAACACATCTTAGCCCTGTGCTTACCCTTGCTCAGAAACTCGTCCTTACCGGCGATGATAATTTCCAACAAGTTTAGTCCGTGCCGAGTCAAATGGTCATCCGAATTCTCGAAAGCCTATGGGGATTAAGTGATGAAACAATGACTAAAATTACGGAAAGCATACGTGCAAAGGATCATCCTCTCCTGGCATGGCAACCAAAGCTGCCATCTCATCGTACAGTGTCTGTCCCATGTACGACCACATGTTTGTACTAACTAGGCATGGTAGGCAACCAAGCACATATAGAAGGTGATCTCCAAGGGCCATTGAAGTTTGCGTTCAAATGGATTAATGCTCCGTACTACGACACGGACCTTTCAGTTTATGTGTTTCGGCCATATGGAAAACGCCCCCAAGTACAGACTTTGGATCTTATATTAACATCAATGCAATACAAGGATATTGGACAGGCGATTGTGGTTGTGAACTCTCACAACACCGTAACGGAGTTACGCTACTCGCTCCCCCATTTCTTTCCGCAATATGAAGTTTCCAGCCTTCGGTATATCATGCGGCTCTTCCAAGCTGTGGGTGCTAAGACCACCGATGAGCTCGTCACGTTTCTAACAAAGGCATGCGGCGAAAATAATCATATGGTGAGCACTACCATGCGCGACAACACTTTTCAGCCATGGTACGCTCAAAACACGAGGCAGCCGGTTCTTGGATGCTCATGCCATTCTTTTGGTTTAATTGTTACAATGTGCCCTATTTTTTTACTCTCGAACAAAGGTCGGCCTATTGCCATCTACTGGCTTATAAGCACCGTTTGGATGGCAATAATGATGTTCTTTGTGGTGAATGTGGTTGCTTTAGGGGTCATGGGGGCATTATACAGCATTTCCTTCTTGGCTCTCTGGCTTATGAAGCCGGATTTATATTACATACATACATAGAATGAAGGGAAGAGACCGAATTGGAAAGGGATTTGATAAACCAGCATCTACTGATTGATTCCCTAGTCTATGCAGACTCGTCTAGACACTGGATCTAGGGACCAAATCAGAAGATACATATGTTCCGAGGTTGGGAGGTGAATGTTTTAGTACAGAGAGGTAAGAGGCAGAATCCAAGCCCTTGCTCTCGCAGTTGCGGATTTACTCCTAGGTGGACGATAGCAAGCCCAAAAATCCAAAAATCAGACAAGAATTTACCACAGAAAGCTATAGTAAAACCTGATTGAGTATAGGTAACAGTTAAAAAAAAGAGAAAAGGAAACCACGAAAACCAGATAGACAACACCCGATCATTCCCTTCCCCCACCACAGCTCCAACGACAATCAGAATGCAGTTGTCCTGACCATCGACTATCCCTCAGTAAACCGAGAAAACACATCCGCAGTCGCAGTGGCATATTCCCTCTCAATCGTATCCCGAATGACCTCGTTGCGTATCACAGGTCGACAAGAATAGTCTTTGGCACAGTACAAGAAGCCATTGTGGTACCCAGTCACCGGATCACTATCAATCGGACCCTCTCCCGGCTGGAAGTCAAACGCCCACAGTAGTTTAGCAATTCCCAGGAACATGTTGCGCTCGGCCAGGTGGATGCCAGGACAAATCCGGCGCCCAACCCCGTAGCCGTAGTGGTCACGACGCTCCCATGTTCCCGGCACATAGTCAGGAGCCAATTGAGGATGTTTGGCAAACCGCTCGGGGATGAAAGCAGCTGGGTCATCGGGTTGGGACGGATCCATGTGCATGCCCCAGGTGTTGACTACGACTATTGTGCCTTTAGGGAGGAATTTGCCATCAACCCAGTCGTCTATAAAGATACCAATGGTACAGAGGTTAGAAGATATATATCGAAAGGAAGAACAGAAAAGGAGAAGAAAAAAGAGAAGAAACAACGTACCCTCTCCTAGTGCATGGGGGAAACAGAGTGGAAGTATAGGCCTCCACCGGTGACCTTCCTTGATGATCATGTTAATATAAGGAAGTTTCTCAAAGTCCTCCCAAACAGGCGACCGGTTGTGGCCGACTACGGCATCAATCTCAGCATGTGCCTTTCGCTGGACATCGGGGTTTTGGATCAACGCTTGCACGATAGCCAGTGTGAGACTGGAGCTAGTGTCTGAGCCTCCTTCCATCAGAACACCGCCGATAAATGCCAGCTGGTGCCAGGGGAGATTATGTTTCTCCTGGCTATCCAGAACCTTGTCCATAAATGTGCCGTTGTTGTGGCCATCTTCCCGTCGTTTTATCACTTTATTAAGGATATCAACGTAGAGGGTCTCCATCTGCACGCCGATGGCCTTGGCTCGGTCAATATAGTTGTTAAAAAGCCATTGTGGCAGCAGTTTTAACCAAGGGAATAGGTCTACTGGTGGTGTTGCACCGGTTTCCATCACCTCCGACCATTCCTCCATGAGTTTGTAAAGTCGTCGCATATTGGCTCCCTCCCGATTGGCTGTGCGGATTCCAAATACTGTGATATGGGTTTAGGGCGTTTCCGGTGAATAATATATGACAGACTTACCGATCGAGTTGGTGATACTGTTACTGTACCGCTTGGGATGGGCCATATGATGTTCCGGGTCGATCATATAGTCTCGTACGAGCTGTATGGCTTCAGCATTGACGATTTTGGTGTGGTGGTTTTCCACCATGGTCTCCATCAGGTGTTGGTGAACTAGTCGCCGGAAGGTGCGCCACTGATCGCCATAATGCATGACCAATAGGTGATTACCCTTTGTAATGAGATCGTGTGAGACAAAGGAATGGGGCCGATGGCTGTAGATGCCACTCTTGCGATCGAGGACTTCTTTGACTAGTCGGCGATCGGTGATGACTGCCATATTGCCATTTCCGATCTTTAGCATGTATAACCCGCCATACTGGGCGGCCCATTCGGTAAACCTGAACGCAAGACATTAGCGGTGAGAATTTGCTATTTGCTTCAAAAGTAAAGGGGGAGGTTATTGAACATACTTGATATGGGTGTACTTCTTGGTAATCTGGTGGATGTTTCCGATGAAGGGTAGGGTAGGTGGACCTACGGTCAGGTGAGCAATTCACTCTCAGCTAATTTGGAAGCCGAATACTCACCAATAGGCATGGTGCTGGTCCGATGGCCATATGTGAAGGCATATCGTACGAGCACGATGGCTGGCAACAAGACCAGTAGTAGCAGCAAGAATGGTTCCATAGTTAAGAGGCACTTATCGAGGATGAACTCTTCAGCGCTTGAATTTCTTCAGCATCGAGATGATAGTGGGGTATGCTGACTTATAGATCGACAAAGCGAGGGGTTCATGCCTATGTGCTTCATGGGATTGGTTGTGATCAACAAAGAAATTCGGTTACTGCTCGGTTACCCAAAGGAGTGTGCCCCGGCTAAGATTCCCCAAGGGGAAACACTTTCCTCTTTTCTCTCTGTAGATCTGGCTCGAATATGATATGTCATGAGAGTCGGTTGTAGAGTCAGCTGATCATGAAGGGAAAAGATATGATGTCCCAAAACAGGGCTTCTAATCATCTCCAAACAGCTGCATTCATCGAGGCTCTGATGTCATGAACAAGTAGACCTAGAGAGCTCGAGCCCTCTATTTGAGGGGTTGATTCTATGGTCATCTGAGAGCGAGCATCTGTGTCTGACACAGAACCCAGGAAGAATGATTGCATCATCCAGAAGAGAAACTGAAGATTTGGATAATCTGGGTGCTAGGTGGGACATGAGGTTGTAAGAACTGGTTCTGAGTAAGGCCACAAAAAGTCCCAATTGAACATCCACAGAGATACAGACCATAAAATGATCGATCCTTCGATGCGATAATGTGTTGCAAGCGAATCATGTACTATTATATCCATATTGTGCTATATAAATGACTTATAGAGTATTGGCAATATCGTTTCATCGGCCTTGACTCCAACGCTCTTCCAAAAGCTTCTCGTGTACAGCTAGCATGGAAAATGCTTCATTTCAGAGCTTCGCTTTGTCCAGGATCCCCTTCAGTCGCGGAAACAGCTCCAGTGCTGCCCCGCTGTCAACCTGTCGCTTTGTCTCTTCTGGCAGCTCGTACGCCTCCAAAAAGTTCGTGAAGCGTAAGATTGCGTCATGCGGGGCATTTGGGAAGTCACTACCGAAGAGCACATGGCCGGGCGCAGCGAACTCAAAAAGTGCCTTCAACGTGACCGGGTTTGATGAGATAGCCGTGTCAAAGTAGAATGTCCGGGCTGCCTCCACCAACTCTTCAGTTGACAGGCCGAGCGTGCGTGGCATCAAGGGCAGCATAGTAGCCGCTCGATGGATGAGATATGGCAAAGTCCCGCCTGCATGAGACAGAATGATCTTGCATCCCGGATAGTCTTGCAAAATGCCACTGGTCAGCAGATCCATGGCGGCCCGGCCAGTTTCATGCGGATAGTCGAACATGGGCTGCGGTAGCCAGGTGTTGATAAGTTGCGTATCGACTGGATGAGTCGGGTGGATGAAGACTACGGCACCGCGACGGCTGAGGTCGGCCCAGATGGGTCGAAAGGCGGCATGTCCCAGGTAATTAGAACCCTTGCCGTAGCGGGTGAATAGAGTGACTCCGTCCGCACGGAGAGTGGTGCAGGCGTATTCAATTTCCTTCAAGACGGCCGCCGTATCGAATAGGGAGGGGACAGAGGCAAAGAAGCCATACTGTTGCGGCTTAGCATCCCGAATGGCAGCGGCAGATTCATTGCAGCTGCGTGCCAGAGCGGCGGCCTTAGTAACATCAGGTTCGATACCTGGACCGGGCGCAGTGACAGAGAGAATGGTGGTGGTCACCTTCATCTGTCGTGTTATGTCTTGATCTAGCTCAAGCGTCCATGGGGGAATATACCAGCCCGAAGGATCACCCCCAGCGCGGTCCAGGGCTGTTTAAGGTTAACCAATGGGCTCCCATTCTAACACAGATAAGACTGACCTTGGCGCATGGCCGGAGGGTAAAAATGGTGGTGCACATCGATTTTCGCCATGATGGTCATTGGGGTAGCACTTTCAGTACTGATCCTTTTGAAAACCAGCACTTGGTGGGATTTACCTGCTCAAATACAGGTCTCTAGCAATGGTGCGGTCCATTTCCGACTGAATGCCTGCAGTTTTCCCCTCTCTCTTGCATGCAGCGACAACACCACCTTGATCGGGAGACCATCATGAATCATGATTAGAGAGCAGTGCGTGACCTCTGAGTGCGGATCAACGGTGCCGGGCGAGGCTTGTAGGGGTTGCGGGAACTCCGAAGAAATACCGAGAGAGAGGAAGACTACGCTTGTACAATGCACATCATGTCTACGGATACTGTTTACGGAAGCCCCACGGATATGTGCGCTTGCAAAATGGTCTATTTCATTTAAAAGCGCTTATTCCTTTCACCACATCAACCCTTGTCCTAGTTCTTCCGGAAGAGGAAATACCCCTCCGAAACTCCTTCGGGGTGATCATTTTCCCCTGCAGCAACACTTTATCCTTCTGCTATAGTGCTGGATCTCAATCAGGCATGGGCGGTGCCTCCCTCGGGATTGGCAATAAAGACTTTAGTACTATTGTCCGACCCAAAGGATGAAGCGGTGGTGAAGGTATCCTCCATCCACTGAAATTCAAAAATCTGATTGGCCGAATTCACTCGCGCTCGAGCGGCCCAGGGGGAGATCACTGTCTTCCCCAGAGTGCGGGATGTGGCCGTGAATGATCCCCAAGCGGTCACGTTGCCGTCATCGCCAAAGATGTGGTCGATGGAGAATGGGCCCCGGTCCCAATACAGGCCTACTCGGGTGAAGATGTCGATAAAGGCCTGCGGACCCACATGGGTGTGCGTGCCTGCCCAGGGCATGATCCCATGGAGAGTGGGATTGTCGAACGTGAGGGAGATGTAGGTGCAGTCATAGGTGACCAGCTCCTTCAGGAGATTATAGTCGGGATCCGGTTGAGTGTTGAGCACCTTGGCGAACACCGAGACGGGCGTGCGTTCCCAGTCAGTAGGCCCAAGTGGTGGGGAGCTCGAAGGATAATTTCCGGGGTAGTCATTCCGAGCAGCGGCCGGGCCAAGGCCGATCAGAGACACAGCGAGACTAACCCACAGGGAGGATTTCATTTTGAAGGTAAAGCTGAAACTGATTGCAGATGGAATTGCAATTTCTAGCAGACCGGTGCTAGATTCGACATATTTATGCCCTTCTACCACGAGCAGCTCGTATCCTTCGGCATGATTTTCGGGAGGAAGTGGGCCGTTAGATGCATACTTCTCAATCATCGTCCAGTATTACTCCGAAACTCCCACCGTCTCCTTTAGGTAACTTCTTCGGCTATGAAGGCACAATACGATTCCTTCTAACAATTCCCCACCATAGTCGTCGCCCTAAGCTGAGGGGAAATTCGAAGGATGAACCGCGTGGAGCACGGCGGCCGCGCTGATAAGCTGTGGATTTGGCTGTTTGGAAGACCAAAAGCTTTCTGACTCCATTCTGCAGGCAATTCCTTTCTGCGACGGTAATTGGGACCTGAATATGAGGTTGACATCAGGGATTTTTCACGCGGCCATCGCAGTTGCTGCGGTCGGCGCTGTGCTTCCAGAGGGACCATCGAGTTCGAAAACCCATCGCAATGAGTACGCGCGGCGCATGCTAGGTTCCTCCTTTGGCATCCCCAAAAACCAAACTTTTGATTATCTGGTCATTGGCGGGGGCACGGCCGGTTTGACTATCGCAACGCGACTTGCCGAACAGGGTGTCGGCTCAGTCGCGGTTATTGAGGCGGGTGGCTTCTATGAGCTGAACAATGGCAATCTTAGCCAAATCCCCGCCCAGGATGCTTTCTACGTGGGCACGGATCTCGACGATTGGCAGCCTGGTATCGATTGGGGTTTCCACACCACCCCTCAAGCGGTAAGTTGTCCTCCCCGGATAATGGATATCAAAGGCTGATGAATCTAAACTAGGGCGCCTACGATCGGGTGAGCCACTACGCCCGGGGCAAGTGCCTGGGGGGCAGCTCGGCACGCAATTACATGGCGTATCAACGTGGCACCAAGGCGGCGCATCAGCGGTGGGCAGACACTGTGGGGGATTCCAGCTATACCTGGGAGCAGTTCCTGCCATTCTTCGAAAAGAGCCTGCACTTTACCCCCGCAAACGATGCGCTGCGCGGGGCCAATGCCAGTGTAGTGAGCGATCCAAGTGTGCTGGGCAATGGCGATGGCCCCTTATCCGTGACCTATCCTCACTACGCCCAGGCGTTTGCGACATGGGCGAAACATGCCTTCATCGAGATCGGTCTCCAGATACGCAGCGGGTTCCAGAGTGGAGCGCTGTTAGGCCAGTCTTACGGCCTCTACACGATCAATGCCACGACTATGCATCGCGAGTCGTCAGAGACGTCTTTCCTGCGCAAAGGCCTCGCTGACCCAAACCTCACGGTCTTTCAATCCGCCCTGGCGAAACGTATTCGCTTCCAAGACAAGCGGGCTGTTGGAGTTGACGTGGAGACAATGGGCCGTGCGTATACGCTCTCCGCGCGCAAGGAGATTGTTCTCTCGGCAGGCGCCTTCCAATCACCCCAGTTGTTGATGGTCTCTGGCGTCGGCCCCGCGGCCACGCTGAAGGCACATAATATTCCCCTCGTGGCGGACCGCCCAGGCGTGGGACAAAACATGCAGGATCATATCATCTACGCTCCCTCCTACCGGGTGAATGTCATCACACAGTCAGCTCTGCTCAATGAGGAGTTCGAGGCCCAGGCCAACCGCGACTACAACGAACGAGCAGCGGGCATCTACGCCAATCCCACGTCAGACATCCTGGCTTGGGAAAAGATCCCTGAACCCAAGCGGTCGGCCTGGTTCTCGAATCACACCCGTCAGGTGCTCGCCGAATACCCGGATGACTGGCCAGAGGTAGAGTTCCTGACGATGGGGGGATATTTCGGCTATCAGAGGAACTATATCCGAGACAATCCTAGTGACGGCTACAATTATGCCTCGCTTGCGGTCTCGCTCTGTACACCTCGCTCTCGGGGAAATGTCACGATCACGTCGCCCGACGCCGGCGTGCCACCAGTCATCAACCCCAACTGGCTCACTGATCCAGTGGATGTCGAACTTGCCGTGGCAGCTTTCAAGCGGACGCGTGACTTTTTCAATACCACTGCCATCAAGCCCATTCTCATCGGGCCTGAGTACTTCCCGGGCTCTCAGGTCGCCACGGATGCAGAAATTCTGGATCATGTCCGGAAGAGCTTCGATACCATTTTCCACGCCTCCTGTACCTGTGCGATGGGTCTAGCAAATGACACCCAGGCAGTGGTGGACTCCAAAGCTCGAGTAATTGGTGTTGAAGCCCTCCGCGTGGTGGATGCCTCCGCCTTGCCCTTCCTACCACCAGGTCACCCCCAGTCCACACTTTGTAAGTCTTGATCGTTCCTTATACATATACTGCTTCAAACAGAATGACTAACTGGAGGTAGATGCACTGGCAGAGAAAATCGCGTGCGAAATTTCGGGCAACTGTTAGACAACGGGCAATATAGCATCCAACCACAGGGAAAGATGAAGAATGTTACGTAGTATATAGCAATCGAAGTAGAAGTAAATACTCAATCTATCACACCTTTCACACTCCATACACTCCATACACTCCATACACTCCATACACTCCATACACTCCACTCTACGCCAATACTACCAACATAACAAGCATAACGGGCATTATCCCCAATATGTCCTCTACCTCCTTACTACATGGTGATGACGGCACGGAACCGCACACTTCCTTCCATCATGGCCGCTGTAGAAAATAAGACACCACGTCAGAGACATTGAACTCATCAAAGGAAAGAGATTTCATACCAAATGCTTCGTTGCACTTGTCCAAGGGGAATTCTTCTATCAGACAATCAATGCCATGGAGGTCGGCAAACGCGATGGCGTCCTCGGAATCGGTGGCATGACCGCTGGGCCAGCTCCAGATGGATTTACCCTTTCCGACCTACACTATAATTAGTACCTTCATTTCTTGATCTTGCCATCATCTCTTCCGTTTGCGTTTCTGCTTGATTTCAGAGAGGAAAATCCCACTTACCAGCAGGCCAGTGTGCACCTCAATACCACCAACAACTATTATTGTCAGCATCCAATCAAAATTCCAGGAAGCATAATTTTTCAAGAACAAGCCAAGAGAGCTTACTGGACAGAATCAACAACTTCCCCATAACACCAAGTCCCTGAATCAGCGGGTTAATAATCTCAGGCACAGGCGCCGTTGACACGATCAGAGAAGCACCACCCAGTTTCTGCAAAGCAGCGACGGGATCCTCCCGACTGGTGTCGATGTACTCATGTGCTCCTAGCTTCCGTGCAAATTCCTCCTTTGTGGAGTCCCGCGAGAGCGCCACGACGCGGTAGCCAAACTTGTTCGCATATTGGAGTGCTAGATGGCCGAGTCCACCCAGACCCTGGATGGCGACCAGTTCACCCGGTGGGATCTTCATGTGGCGCATTGCGTTGAAGACGGTGACACCGGCACAGAGCATGGGTGCGTATTTGGCTGCATTGACGTGGTCTGGAATGTGTACGGCGGCTTCGCGGCGGATGATACAATATTCGGCATCTACCGGAATTGGAGAGGAGGGGTTAGCATTGAGATATTATTTTTTTCGGTGGAACGAGGAAATGGTGATAAAAAAAGAAAAGGGTGATAATAAAAGAAGAGAGAGAAGTAAAGAAAGGAGAAAGACATACAGCCGCCATTTCGGGAAATGCCGTTGACTTGCTCATTATCGCACATCTGGAAGAAGCCCTTTTTGCATGCCCCGCAGGTACCTGTTAAGTGCATCAGTGTATATTCTCGTCAAGGAATCAGACTCTTTTGTAGCCGAGAAAAGAATTTCATACCATCGTGCCCGCCATGCCATGCACCTCCAATTCGATCTCCTTCCTTCCAAACGGTCTCGCCCTCTCCGACAGCTGCCACACGTCCAATAATCTCATGACCGGGAACTAGCGGACTATAAAATCACCGGGAATTAGGCAAAGTGTCATATATTTCACGATAGGTGGCTCACAATCCTCCTCCCATGAGATTCGTCTGCGCAAAGTGGTCCGAATGACACACGCCGCAGGCTTCGACTTTGACCAAAATCTCATCCCGCTTGGGTAGAGTCAATGCAACCTCTTCTAGGGTCAGGCCGGCGCCTTGTTCCTTGAAGACCGCCTGCTTGTAGGTGCTGGGAGTAGTGGAGGCCATGGTGCGTATTCTGCTGAATAATAGATAGCTGTGCGAAGTAAGACTATGTTTCTGCGTCGGAGGGAGGGGATGCGGGGAGAAGATTAGATAAATATTTCTTTGGCCTCTCCTTATCTACTAGTACAAGGTGGGATGCGGAGTCGGAGTTCCGGAGACTACTATATTGGCTCATTGGCGTATCCCGAGGTCAAAGTAACAAATGTTGATGATAAACCTCCTTCAGCTGGATAAGCCCTTATCCACTATATTTGAAACGTGGAGATTTCTCAGGTGTTATATTTTATTCTATCTCCCGAAGATATTTTGATTCCACTGGCTAGGTAAATTATGATTTATAAACAAAAAAGAGCAAAGGATACATCTCAAGGCGTACCTCGAGCTCAAAAAGGACAAGAAGAAAAGAAACCCCATTACCAAATACACCCCAGTCACGGATCCAAAGCCAGTATCCCGTTTGCCATTGGTGCTATCCTTCCCGTGGAACGGATCTAGAACCGACGACGAGGCAGCAGGCAGGATGCAACCACGTAGAGAGCACCCGCCGAAATTGCCATGACGTAGACATCACTAATCGAACTCACAATCACCTTCAGGGCTGCCGTCTTCAAGGCCGGGGGCAGTCGCTCCATCAGGGTACTCTGGGCGCCAGCGACGGCACTTTGGATGTCCACCTGCGAATATCCCTTATCTCCCAACAGGGCAGTGAGCCCACTGAGGGTCTTGGTCTGGAAAATGGCACTGGCGATGGCCAATCCCAGAAGCTGACTCTGGCCCTGGCCGATGTTCATGAACTGGAGACATTCGGCCACGCGGTCGGGAGTCACAATGGCTGGACCCACCGCGTAGGCGGCCTGTGTAGTAGTCATGCCCAGTCCCATCAGGATGGAATATCCGTAGACGTTGGAGGGGCTGGTATCCAATTTCACGGTGTACATCAACACGGCTCCAATGAGCATGAAGACACCACTCATGAGATACCAGATGATAAAGTAGCCGGTCTTGGGCATGACATAACCACAAAGCAGAATCGTAGCCACGTAGAAGCAGACGAACGGCAACAGACGGACTGCCGACATGATGCCAGAGTCGCCGTGGACGAACTGGAAGTAGAGTGGGATATAATAAACTGCCACAAAGAGGGCGGCACCACCACAGGCCATGATGATATAGAGGAGGAGCATCGTGGGGTCACGCAGGAACTCGCCGGGGAACAGTCGGTCCTGTTTGGTGGTCCCGATGCAGAAGTACTGGCTGAGCACGAAAGCAATGGTGAGGACAGCGGAGACCACGTACAGAGCGATGTTCCGGCCATCTGTCCAGGACCATTCGACACCACCGAAGACGATGAACAAGATGATGGAGATGTGCATTCCTGCGGAAAGGACCGTGCCCACCCAGTCAAGCTCCACAAGCTTCTTGAAGAAGCTGCGGCCTTCGCCCGCTGGTCGTGGCAAGGAGGGCAGGAGGAATACATAGATGGGTGACATGACTCCAAAGATAACCAAGTTGAGATAGAATGACTGTCATTGCGGTCAGCATACCCGGCCAGAGAAACGAGCAAGGGATCACACGTACCCATCGCCATGTGGCAGAACTGTCAGAGAAAGCACCGCCAATGATAGGACCCAGAATACAGCCAGTGCCGTAGATCAATCCAACCAGGCCGACATACACAGGCTGCTCCTTGGGGGTGGTCAGGATGGTAATCAGATTCAGATTTCTATGTTTCTTGGTCAGCCCTCAATCTCTGATCTCGGCCTGTCACGATAAACTTACCCCAGATACATGCCCGCTCCACCAGCTCCTGCCCACACACGCCCGACAATGATGGCATTCATACTAGGAGCAGCACCGCAGAGAGCACTGCCAGCCGCAAACATAGTCAAACAGCCGAGGAAGAGCCATTTCGTATCGAAGATGGCGTATGCTTTGCCCAGCGGGAGAATAAAGACCACCGATCCCAAGGTGAAGCCCACACCAAGCCAACCCAGCCGCGTGTACTCGTTGAAGTCACCGGCAATGGGAGCCTGGATATCAGCCACAATGGTATTATCCAAGCCATAGAGGAGGTTTGCAGAGAAAACGGCAATGCAGACGAGCAGCCAGCGGAAGCCTACGATGTCCCGGCCCGGGGCTGCATCCTTCTCGGTTTCTTCAGCTTTGATCGGGATTGATTCATCCACGCGATCCGGGGTTTGACTTTCGAGCACGCTCTCACTTGGTGAAGCGTCTATACTCATTGTGGGAAGCGAACCGAGCGGCACTTAGTCAGCTGTTTTAGAGGTTCAGCTATCTAGGCACTTGCCCAATGGAGTCGTAGTAAAGTGAAAATAGAAGGCAGCAATATAGTTATCCACTGGAGGACGTTGGCGAAAGTATTGATGTCCCATATTGCCCGACCGTGCCTGGTTATTTAAATGCTAGCAGTACTGGAAGAGGACATTTTGGTGACAATGCATTACTCCTTTCGGACATTCATCTTTGTCAGTGTGGTATCTGACCAATCGTAGCTTACCATTTGACTGACCAACTCCGAATCTCCTTTCGGACTCGGAGCGGGAGTACCCGAGCTCACCTAATTCTAATAATTAAGTGGGTCCGTCTGGACCTGCATCCATGGATCCGCTCTTCAATTTCTAAGCGTTTTCAGCATTTCCAAGGTTTCAAAAATTTCAACCTTGGGTCGTGATTAGCTATAATACAACCCTAGAAATGTAGATCAGCCCTGCCCAGAGATTACTTCGTAAACGGAATTTATATGGAACCCCTTTGAGCCATCTTTTACAGTTGCTATTTTATTCTAGTTAGAGGGTTTTTGCGCACGACATTAGCTTAACATATGCTACCTATAAATAAATGCAAAACAGTAAAAATGCTAGATAGTGAAATACAAAAAACCTGGGAGCTCATTATACCCCATAATTCATTCCCAATGCAAATTATCAACTGGGCCAGTCTGCTACTGGTCACATGGGAGACTGTTGTAGCAGCCGAATTGCCGATTGTGGACCTGGGCTATCAGCGGCATCAAGCCATTGGCTTTAACGTGAGTCCCATACCGCGAAAAAGAAATGAAAGGCTTAGAAATCCATCTGATGATCAGCTCAATGATATACCTAGTCGACTGGTCGCTATTACCAATTTTCTAATGTCCGTTATGCCGAACCCCCGTTAGGCCCCTTGCGGTTTTCCCTGCCCGTCTCCCCACGAAATCGCAGCCACGAGGTTGTCAATGGCAAGGGGCTTGGCAATATCTGTCCCCAATCTCAAGCCTGTTGGTTTAATGTGCAGGGCGACTTTGTCAGTGCCGTGACCGCGGGCTCGACTTTTAATTTCACCGCCGCGTATGATCAGGTCTACCAACAGGATGAATGCACCAAGCCGCGACCGGTCGCAGACCAGAATCCACTGGAGTCAGAAGATTGTCTGTTCCTCGATGTGTACGTCCCAGAGAAGGTGATATCCAAACGACGAGATGGAAACGGAAAATCGAATCCTGGTGCGCCCGTCTTAGTGTACTTCCAGGATGGAGCCTATGTGTCCGGGTCCAAGTCAGATCAGAATCCCTCCGGCTTGATCGCAACCAGCAGGGAGGATGGGTCCACAGGCATAATCTATGTGGGCGTCAACTATCGAGTACGTGGCTCTCCCTCTCTTTCCCGTGCAAATTCGTCTCCTTTTCTTTCAGCGGCTTATCCAGGGATGGTATCGACTAGCTGGGCGTATTTGGATGGCTGTCAGGTCAGAAGTTTCAGTCGGAAGGGGGCTTGCCCAACGCCGGGCTGTATGATGAGCGTCTGGCGTTAGAGTGGGTGCAACGACATATCACGAAATTCGGCGGTGATCCCTCACGCGTCACTGTCATGGGCGTCTCAGCCGGCGGGGGCTCAATCACGATGCAACTGACGGCCTACGGACGCGCCATTCGCCCCCCGTTCGCCCAAATCATTGCGCAGAGTCCGGCTTGGGAACCGGGCACAAAGACACCGGCTATTGAGGACGACCTGTTGGATTCATTCCTTACATTGTTGAATGTCAGCAGCTTGGAGGAGGCCCGGCGTTTACCATCTCAGGCCTTGCTAGATGCTAACTATGAGCTGGTGGCGTCCCGTCCGTATGGTTCTGGTGTGTTCGGACCGGTAAGTACTATCCGAGCTATTTGCTGCCATTCCCCGTTCATCATTTCTTTGAATACTGATTGAACAATCTTCTGCTCATCACTATAGGCCATTGATGGGAGCTTTGTACCCGATAGTCCCAAGCGACTCCTCCTTGAGCGCAAGGTCGATCCCTCTGTGCGAATCCTCACCTCATACACTGCCAACGAAGGGTTTATGTTAGCCCCAGCCAATGTGACCGATGATGCCACCTTTAACCGATACGTGGATGTGCTGCTCCGCGGTGCGAATGCTAGCGTACGCGCTCACACCTCCCGAGTGCTCTACCCACCCATCTTCAATGGCAGCTGGCCGTATCACAGTCAGCACGAACGGGCCAATCTACTCTGGTCCGAGGTCTCTACCACCTGCAACACCCGGTATTTACACCAAGCAGTCGCAACGCCAGGCTATGCGATTGAGTACGCTGTGAAGCCCGCGATGCATCTCTCGGATACCTCATCTGTCTTCTACAATGGACAGGGTTCCAGCTCTTCGCTGAATGCCACCATCGCACAACTCATGCAGCGGCAGATCGTGCAGTTTGTCAAGACAGGGAATCCAAATGTCAAGGGAGATCCCCATGTACCTCTCTATCACGGACAAGCCCATGTGCTTTCACTGGGAGATAACGGAGTGCGAGTTGAGCCGGCCTTGACTAATACAGACCGGTGCACTTACTGGCAGCAGGTCGAGTTTTGATGAACTCAGTAGGGGAAGTGAACTTATCTCAAAGCGCGTTTCAGCTCGAGTTAATGATCATTCATACTCCTATCGGATATCATATCTAGTAGAGACTAATGCTCATCCAAAATATACTATTGAGAAAGCTTGTTAATCTCCCTAAGGCAGACCATATTGAAAAACGCAGTTGACTCTCATTATTTACCACGTAGTTGGGGTTGTTTCAACTCTATTTCTAATCACAACCCTAATCGGCCCATTCATATACCATCTTCAGCATACAAGGTTACTGTCCCCAATGCAAAGTGGGATTAAGTCAGCTGTTTCTATATCCATGGATGTTTCTATACATGTAGAGAATAACGGGCTGTGAACAGGGGTAGAAGGAAAGGAAAAGTCCGTAGATAGAGATCTATCACCCGGAAATGAAGATATCACACATCTTTTTACAATTATGACTGTGTACTAAGGTGTTGGCAAACACCTTGCAACACATAATTCTAGCAATATATTTCGTAACGCCATAGCTTCCATTGAATATCGTAATAATCTTGTACCACATAATCAACATGACATCCCATAGCTCACTCGTCCACCTGCACCACTAGGTCCCTCGAAATTATTCCATCCCTCAAAATCTCAATCTCTTACCCACGATGCTTCAGTGTCTCTTCTTTCGCTGCAATCGTGCATACAAGGGACTCGTATCCCCCAGTGGGAACGAGAATAGGAGGGCATCCTGACACATCAGGTGGCCGACGGTGTACCAGGCAAACAACCCTGAGACAAACCCAAATGCACCCGCGGCCTTTTTCAGAGCGAGTCCAGCAGATGCATGATCATCTGCGAACGAGAAGTACGAGGCGGCCAACAGAGTGTATGTAATTTGGGAAGTTCCGAGCATGCCCGTGTACACCAGGTTCCTGTCTACCAGTCAGCTATGACCACGCTTTCAGACGGGATATCTGTATATATAAATGTGTATCAACTGACATGGGCATTGCAGCAACGGTAAAGAAGAGAACGAATATCCCCCATACTATATCGTCGTGTTAGCCGAAATCCCACCTAAAACAAAAGAAAAGATGACAAGAAAAATCCGTTTGCAGAAAGAACTCACCGAGCAGAAAATATCCAATGGCATTATTCAATGCCGCGGGATCATCTTTGAAGGCATCTGCTACCCCAAAGGCCGGTGCATTGATCGCGCCAAAAGCTAAGTTGAACAGACCTGGATGGGAGCCCGATGGGTCAGATCACGGCCATCATGCACGGCAAATCATAGGATGAAGTAACTAGATGCTCACCAAAGCCTCCAAAGACGGTATGGCCAAAGGAATTCCCGCGCACAAGCTCCCACTGGGCCACCAATACCAAACCCATGCCAGCTGTAAAAAAGCAGTTACCAATATAGGCATTGGTGATGGCTGCGCTTCGCCACTCCATGAGACTCATCGATAGAGTGGTGAAAGCAATTGCGAATGCACCCATACCAAGAGCAGTCTGGTAGCAGTCATGGATAGTTAGATGATGTTTCAACTGGGAGTCTAAATACAGGGCACTTTACTGGACTGCCAATCTGCTGGGTGGGCTGGAAGTCTTGCTCTTTGCTATTTCTAGCATGAGAGGACGAGGTATCACAGCTCAACTGAGCTGCCTCCTCCGAGGAGGCCATAACAGTTCCCTCAGCTGATAGTTTCATCTTGTAGCACGTTGGGTCGGCAAAAGTGGTTATAGTTGAATCAGAAAAAAGACCACAGTGTGAGGAAAAGAGGGCTTCTAATTTAGAATCAAGTTGTCAGCACTTAAACTTGCCTGAAGAAACAGGGGTATAAATACGCGCATGTCTGTCCCGCATTCGCAGGTCAACAAACGCTAAATTCTTGGTAGCCAAAGTTTCTTGGTATAATATCCTGTTCTGACTTACTCCATGGAGAAGTGGGTGCTGATCTTCCCAAACCAGCTTGGCCAAGGAATCCAACCCCTCATACTAGTGATTTCTTACCCCCTCATGCTGGTATGATTCCATTTCCCCATTGAGCTGTATTCTGAAAACTGACGGTCTGCAGAAAGATCATCGACAAGTCGGAGGGGGAGGGGCAGTGAATGTCATGCCATGTCTATTGGCAGAAGGTCAGAGCAGAGCCTGCAAATAAGATAAGGAGACTACAACATAGGATCGGGCTCATACGCTAGAGATTCAAAGAGAAATAGCTCATTCGAATTATATTTCTCTACTATCTCAGTTTTCTTTCTACTCTTTCTACTATCGAACAAGAAACCTTGGAAATCATCCCCAAAATTAAGTCCCTCCTATAGCCTGGATCCACCGCAGACTATCATATATCTTCCATCAATGACGACGCGTTTTGGTGAGATAGGTCATCACGAGAACCATGGTGAAATTGAACGCGATGAAGCAGATGAAAACGCCAATATTGCGGTGCCGATGAGCAAATTCATAGCCGTATTGTTGGAACTATCAAATGGTTAGTTTCCAGATTAGATATGTTGCCTTGAATTCCTTTGTCCTGATAAAAACTACTTACGTATGATTGTCCGTCGCGATACCGACAATATTGACACTCCGTCGTGCTCGCTGGATTGAGCAAATATCCCGTGGCGGTTTTCAGGAAATCCTGGGCGTACTGGCCACAGGTTGTGCCATTCACCGCGTAAAAGATCGAAACCTCCGATTCCTCGCATCGGATGGGCAGATCTTGCAAAACATCCACGGTGACGCCCTCGCCTAGGTAGAAGAGGGGAGAGATATTATAAAACCAACGCCAACCTGAAGGTGTCACTGGCTTTGGCGAAAGCGTTCCCGCGAAGGTGTTACAGAACATGAAGAAGAATCCGTTGGCAGCAAAGGCTGCCTCGATGTTGGGCATTAGCGATGCGCACAGTTGAGCCAGACTGGTGGCGAAGACTCCAAAGAGCTCGTACATGAGGAAGCTGTATCCTGCGCGTGAGGGGGCGTTGAAATAGCCAACAGGGAAGTACCACAGCAGCCAATATACCAGCGAGCTGAGGAACGTAAAGGGCAGTTCCACGATAAATGCAGATAAGACAAATGCCAGCCAGTGGTAGGTCAAGCTCTCACGCTCCCGGTGGACGAAAATATCTCGCAGGGTCACGAAGCGTGGTTGCACCTGCAGCCCTAGTGGGGGGCCCACGATGAGTGACATGAAAGCAGAGAAGACCCGATTGTAAGCCCCTCGCTCCGTGTTAGGAGACTGTAGGTAGGTGAGGGAGTTGAGGAGGGAGTTGCCGACGCTCATCCAGAGCTTCGAGTTGACATAATCCGGTTCTCTCCAGTAATACAGCCAGGTTCGCTGAACCACCACCCACAGCTGCACATGGAACGGTACCGAATATAACGACTGTTGCTCCAGCTGTGGTGCTTGCTCTGCGGCGGGGACCAAGCTTTCTTCCGCCTTTTCTCGCTCCTTGCCCTGCTCGCTGTCATTCCAAAGACTGGCCCAATCCATGTGGGCGTCATTGCGAGACCCAGCCCCAATCACCGCGAGGAAATACTCTGCTGGGTTCTCCTCTGGGCCGCAGGGGCGACTCCGTGGCTGGAAATACTGGATTGCCTCGTGGCAGCGGGTTCCTAGGGAACCGTCATAGACTAAATTTCCTCCACGGCTCAGCAGATACAACTTGTCAAACTGATCGATGAGCTCGGCTGCCGGTTGATGAATCGTACACAGGATGGCTTGGCCCGAGTCTGCTAGACGACGAAGCAAGCGAGCGATCAACATGGCGGATTGGCCATCGAGACCCGAGGTCGGTTCATCGAGGAAGAGAATCTCTGGTTTGGATGCCATCTCCACGCCAATACTGACTTTCTTCCGCTGTTCAAGATTGAGGCCGGCACCCGGGACACCAACTAGGGCGTCGGCAATATGCTCCATATTCAACCACTCAATCACTTTCTCGACGTAGGCATTCTTGTCTGCTACGGAGATGGACTCTGGTCGTCGAAGTCGTGCTGTCATTTGCAATGCCTCGCGCACGGTCTGAGTGGGAAGATGAATATCCTGCTGTTGTACGTAGCCCATTCGACTTCGGAAGAATGTTGGCAGCACTTGACCATTGAGCGCTAGTGTTCCAGTGAGATTTCCGATGGTGGAACGGCCAGCGAGTGCATTCAGTAGGGTTGTCTTGCCGGCACCCGAGACACCCATCAGAGCCTTGAGCTGACCACTCTTGACTGAACCACTCAGATTGTTTAGCAGACGTTGATCGCCCTCCTTGGTTTTGATGTCGAGACAGAGGTTGGTCCATGCAAGATTGTGGCTCTTGTCAGGACCCTGATGTTCTTGTAACCGAAGTGCGTCATTGCTTTGGCCAGCTGACATCTCCGGACTTTCATTCCCTTGGTCTTGTCCTGTTTCGCTATCGATTTTATCACGGCGGTGTGTTACGCCCGGGCTGCTCTTGTAGAACACGGTAGCCAATTGACCCGCGGGTGTTTTCAGCATCTCCATCCCGATTCTGTTCAAATTTCAGTGTCAGTCTTGGACTTTCTCTTTGGACTAGGCTTCAGTGCATGATTACTTACCCAGAGCAAAGGGCAAAGAAAACAAATAGGGCCGCGTTGATTCCAACATTCCTCCAGAGGTGAGAGGTTTTGAATCCGTACTGAGCATGAATGTACGACGCTCCAGACAGGAGACGATCTCCAGGCTCTGATCCCACTACAGCACAGACCTGATGGGCCATGTCGTTATATCCCAAGCCCGATGGGACCAGATCCGAGGCACTGCACTGGTAACTCAGGTCTCTGAATTCATTCACCATCACTGACTCAAACGCATAATATAAGGGCTGTCATATGTTAGCATAACTTATCCAAACCTCATGGTACAGTCTCCACTAACATTTAGATATCGCAACCACCCGAGCCATACTTGCATCTGTGGTGCGGGCACGTAGAGCCCCGTGTATAGGACATACATGTTGAAGAAAATACCCACCGGGAGCACGGCCCGATGCATGTTGGGAGAGAAGATGGCTACTGAGCGAAAGAACATTGAGAGGGCGAGATGCTCCAGGTAGATGATTAGGAACCAGGTGAAGAAGTTCCCAGCCGTCCGCTGAAATCCAGTCAGGAAGTATAGGGGGATATTATAGCAGATTGCGGCCACCTTCCACACGACGTCCGTGGTGACCAAACCGAGCGCGTAGGCAATCGGGCGAGAGATCTGGTATCGCTTTTGTTTCAAGATGAGTGGTCTCTGGGCGAACCCATTACCAAATTCAGCCATTGACTGCAGGGCAGGGACCAGGACAGAGTAGAACAAAGCAGATGCGAAAATAAACAGGGAACTGGTCGTTCGCTGTTGGTTTCGGAACAGCGTGCCTAGCACCAGACTTTGGACGACGATGGTGGCGAGCTCTACCGCCCACAAGCTATAATCACTGGTTACAATGCGAAATTGGCGACCAGCACAGTACCAAATCTGATGCCAGATAGGGAGAGCAAAAGCCGATGTTTTGACTAGGGGACTGGGGTTGGTTTGGAATCGCTCCTTGGCCACCTGAACCGACTTTTGCATCTCCTGGTAGATGGGGCTGGCACTAAACGCACGCTCAAACTCCTCTGCAGTTCGTGGGACCTGGTTTTCCCTGTTTTCCTGGGCTCGTCGCACGTCTGGATCAGCGGACATCACATTGAGGAAGTCGGCAACGGTGGTGGTCGATAAACACTCAAATCCGAGATCTTCAAAATATGCCTTTGCGTCCCGGACTGGGCCATAGTAGATCTGACGACCAGAATTGATTACGAGGACTTTGTCAAAGTAGGAGACAATTGCATCACTGGCTTGATAGACGCTCATCGCGGCCACACATCGACTTTGCGTCGTCCACTCGCGCACCATCTCCATGAATTCGACCGCCGTGGATGAGTCCAGTCCATGGGTTGGGTTATCCAGGCAGATTAGGCTGTGGGAATGTATGAGTTGATGAATCATCATTGGTATATACTGGAGCAGAAGAGATCACTTACCGGGCACAGGTGGCCAGGGCCTCCGCCAAAGACACTCGCCGGCGCTCTCCGCCACTGACTCCCCGAATCTTCGCATCTCCTACCTTGGTATTTAGGACATTCCCAAGACCAACTAGCTTTGCCAGCTGAGTAACCATTGTGTCTATTTCACGGGCCGAGACTTGGGGACCGCAGCGCGCTCTGGTCGCAAAGCGCAGGGTCTCTGCCACGGTCAATGTAGGGAAATGATCATCAGACTCGGCTAAGGGAGACATTTCTATCAGTGTGTGTTCAAAAGAACCAAACAGAAAAAGTGCGAGGACTTACCGCAGAAGAGAATATCTTGGGGCCGCTGTTTCATCACATCTAGCAGTGGATGACCACCCAGAGTGAGTTCTCCCTGGATCTCCTTATATTCATCCCACAGCCCCGACAGAGTTTTCAGAAAGGTTGTACATCCACTCCCGGGTTTACCTAGCACCAACAACATTTCTCCGGGGTTGATTGTGCCTGAGAATCCGCTGAGGATGGGTCGAGAGTACTGTTTTCTTTGTCTGTTTTGCAGAGGACTCAACAGTCCGAAGGCCGACTGGGCCGCCGACGTGACGGTGGGTGCATCTTGCGACTATCAACAGTTAGTCGAGATGCTTTCAGTTGGAGTCAGTGGTACTTACTCCTGTTCCACTTCCCACTGCTGATATTTTGTCAAAGACCACCCCGGTATCATCGGGAATGCCTCCCTGACGCAGCTCAAGGAAGTTCCTAACACTGTCTGCAATCGATTCCCCTGCTGCAATTTGAGACGATTTCGACGACGGTCCTTCGGTTTCGGCCTCAGACTTTTGAGCATCGGCATCGGACTGGATAGGTGTCTTTGCCACGTCTAACGACGAATGATAATTATCTACCATTATGAAGATAGGCAAAGTTGCAATACTATCACAACCCCTTCATTAACCAAGAATCACATTGCCGACTAGAAAATGTGGAAATGGACGAGTTCAAAAGGACATCAAAACAATAGCTCATCTCCTGTTCCTCCTTTCGCTGTCCAATCTAGATATATCGTGAGTTTCCTAAAGGAGTTACGGAGTTTCCAGACAGTCCCAATCGGGTAAGTGTTCTGGGCCAACTTTCAACGTGTGGCCCGAGGGAGAATGCGAAGGTGAATGGCCTAGCGTATCTCTCCAAGGGTCTTAGAGCCAATGATTATTTCCAATCTATAAAGCAAATGCTGCGAACTCCGAAGGGGGCCGGAACCTATTTCGCCGCTTTCAAGTCTCTTTATTCGATCTGTTTTCTACTTGTTCCCATTCCCATTTACATTCCAATTTCAATTTCAATTTCAATTTTCAAATTTATTGACAATCATGGTTCTCACAACTGGTCTCAAAGGCGCCCATGTGCTCATCACAGGTAAGAAGAATCAAGATCAAGAAAAAAACATACCTAGTTGTGTCCGACTAACGCGGGAACTAGGAGGCACGCGGGGTATGGGAGAAGCAATGGTCCATAAGTTCCTCCAGGAGGAAGCCAATGTATCCTACTGTGCTCGAACCGTCACCAATACCGAGTATGATGACTTCTACTCGACCCTCGCTGAGGGAAATACCGCCCGCGCTGTAGGCACGGCGTTCGATGTCGCTAGCAAAGATTCCCTCGTCAAGTGGGTCGAGAGCTCCGCCGAGCGACTCGGACGAATTGACGTGATTATCGCCAATGGTGATTGATTTTCTTAGAATTTCTTATTTAAAATGTGTACTGACTGGTCGCAGCCTCGCCGATGCATATGGAAGGCGAGACGGAGCACTGGGAGAGCAGTTTCGCGATCGATGTCATGGGTTTCGTTGAGCTGGTCAAGGCGGCTACTCCCTACTTGGAAAAGTCCCCCCAGGCATCCATCATCGTGCAGAGCTCTTTCATGGGGCGGGAATTCTACCGGTCCCCTCCGGCGGCCTACGGGCCCTGCAAGGCAGCGCAGCTGCAGCATGTCCAGGAACTGTCCCACTTCTTGGGGCCTAAGGGCATCCGCGTCAATGCCATCTCCCCAGGACCGGTCCTGTGTAAGGGAGGTCCCTGGGAGCTGTATTCAAAGATCAACCCGGAATGGGTGGAGGAACAGCGATTGAAGATTCCTCTTAAGCGTTTGGGAGGGCCGACAGAGGTGGCGAATGTGGCTGTGTTCCTGGCGAGTCCCCTGGCCAGCTTTGTGTCAGGCACGAATATGTTGGTCGATGGTGGAATTCATGTTGGAACCCAATTTTAGATTTTAGAACTGAGAATGAGACCAATGATATTGTAGTTTTTTTAAGATGATAATACTTTTTTTCTTCCGGCAAGAATGTCTAAAACAGTATTCCCCTTCAACGTAGAAAAGGAGGGAGACTACATAGGGAAGCCCACATAGCTGTTCAAGGAAAAATGACGAGATTGGTCTAGACAATGCTGGTTCTGGAAGACTCTGATCCAACTTCCCGAAAGGTTGTCTCAAGTCGCTCCTAGTCTCCACAAGTATGATAGGACCGGAGTCAGCATCTCGGAGCCTGAAAGGTATCATGCACAAAGATGTCATGGATCATGCAGGTAATACGAGTTGAGAGGTTGAGTGTCGTCTTTTAGGATCTACATCTCACTCTAGTAAACCCAAAATAGGTCAGAGAAAATACCGGAGATCAACGAGAACCCACTGTAAACAACAAGCTGGGGCTATATCGGCAGCCATCGGAGATAGAATGCACTCCCTCTCTCATCAGGACTTCCAAGCAATATGCACATCCCATCTAGTGCGGGGGTCGGGCAGCTGGATGCTATTTTCATGATTCCGAGGAATTGGCGGTAACGAGGAGCTACTGGGAGAACTATAAGAATATGCTCCTCGGCCACAGCGTAGTACACAAATCAATTAGATCTGCTAGATAGCAGGCTTCAAAATGCGTCTTCATCAGTCCCCACCTCGCCTCCTGGTGTGTATCTTGTCTGTTCTCCAGGTTTCCGCCGGTTTGTCTTCAAACTGTCGATGCATGCCTGGTGATAGTTGTTGGCCGTCCCTGAATGACTGGGCACGCTTCAATACGTCTATTGGCGGACGACTAGTGGACACTCAACCACTAGGACAGCCCTGTCATGATCCCTTCTATACCGCCAGCGAGTGTAATGAGCTAAAGCAGCAGTGGACGCATCCAGAGCTCCAGTAAGTAATCCAATTCATCCAACGAGCTCGGTGGCTGACCTGTTGAAACACTCCATTCAATAGCGATGCATCCTCCTCTTCCATAATGTCAGCCGCCGTGGCCAATGAAACTTGTGACGCCTTTACTCCCCGGTCAAAACCATGCACACTGGGTGCGATGGTGCGCTATGCGGTCAATGCCAGCTCTCCAGACGACTTCGTTCAAACCATCCGATTCTCCCAGGAACGAAACATTCGTCTGGTAATTCGCAACACAGGCCATGAGTATGAATCATCCGGTATCTATAGATAACATGTACCCTCGCTAATGATGTATCCTAGTTATGCCGGGAAGTCAACAGGTGCAGGCGCACTATCCATTTGGACCCATTCTCTCAAGGAAATCGACTTCTTGAACTACACCAGCGCACACTATACCGGGCCCGCCGTGCGGATGACCGCCGGCATTCAGGGAACAGACATTAACCCGGCCGCTCATAAGAAAGGGCTGGTGATCGTGGGCGGGGAATGTGCTACTGTAGGCCCCGTTGGTGGTTTCACACAAGGAGGGGGCCACTCCGCCTTGAGCTCTCGATTCGGCCTTGCGGCCGACCAAGTCTTGGAATGGGAAGTGGTAGATGGGATGGGACGATTGCTGACCGCATCGCCTACCCAGAACCCGGATCTGTACTGGGCTCTTAGCGGAGGTGGAGGAGGGACATTTGGCGTCGTGTACGCCGTGACTGTCAAGACATTCCCCGACTTTGCCGTCACGGGTGTTGTTCTTCAATTTGAGAATATAGACCCCTCGTCGAACCGTTTCTTTGAAGCGGTAGGACATTATCATCGTCACCTGCCTACATACACCTCGGCTGGTGGAATGGCGATTGCACAAATTACAAACTCGTCCTTCTTGCTTACACCACTGACACTTCCTGCGTATACCGCAGCAGCGACCAAGAAGCTGCTCGGGCCGTTTTTGCAGGACCTGCACCAACTGAACATATCCTATACCCTGAACATCACCGAGTCCGCCTCGTATTTCCAGCATTATATGAAACTGATCGAGCCCAACCCGACGCAACTGGTGCAAAATGCGCAATATGGCGGTCGTCTTCTCCCCCTCGATCTCATCGAGCGGAATAACTCGCAGCTTACGGATGCCGTCCAGAAGCTCACTGCGGATGGGGTTACATTCGTGGGAATTGGTCTGAATGTCTCGTCATCTGTGACGGGAGATATCTGGAATTCGGTTTTGCCTGGGTGGCGTACAGCAGCGATGACTGTGATTTTGACCACGTACGCTCTCTTTTTCCGGCATGCTGGGCAACTTCTTTGTTTTTATATGCTTGCTGACACCTATAATCCAGGAGCTGGCCCCTCGGTGCCAACCTCACCAAGATGAAAATTCTGGCAGACAAAATGACGACCAAATGGGTACCTATCCTAACAGCTTTGAGTCCAGAGTCAGGGTGTTATATGAGCGAGGTAAGGAGAGACGTATTCATAATTTGGAGACGACTGGCTAACTGTACAAACAGGCCGATCCCCAACAGCCAGACTGGAAGCAGACCTTTTACGGTCGCAACTACGATTCACTTTACGCGATCAAGACGAAATATGATCCACTCCAGACATTCTATGCTACAACGGCTGTTGGCAGTGAGGACTGGCAAGTCGAGGCTGGTGGTCGTCTGTGCCAGGCCACCAGAAAGAATTGACACGACGAGATACTGTGGAAATAAGGACTAAAATTTTGGAATTTCCTATAGGCCTTGTGGGACCATACAATAGAGATAGCATCTTAGGGCCGAATTGGATATCAGGGAACTCAGGCCTCTAGACATGATTTCCTTCATAGGTAGAGTAATGGGGGCATCGAAAAGTCCCCCAACAGAAACCCTTTTGGGTTTGACAAAAGAACAGACTGCTTCTCGCTTGCTTACAATTAAAATCATCCCATTGAAACCCCGAATTTGATAGTACATAAGTGAAAAATAGCTCAAGTACGGAGTAGATGGTGCTTTTGTGCAAAAGGCTCCACCTTGTACGTACTATCTTACGTCTGCAATGCCGATCCTAGTACTAGATAAGACTGGGATAACAATTCCTCTTGTCATTGGGTGTTGTCATAGGGACTTAGGGACAGATCGGCCTAAATTTGCTCTGTGAACAATGTGAGCGAGTGGAGACCTAAACCTAACATCATTGCGTTATGGTTTCTAGTAAGAGTGTCTGATCGAGCTGGACGAGCCACGATGGTGGCATGTAACAAAGCTAGGACTGTCATTGTTTATCTGATGGTGTATTCAAAGGGAAAGTGCATCTAGCAATCTATATTCCTATTGACTCGTAGTATCTGGGTTATTTTATATGCCAAATATGTGAACGCACCTCGATATAAATTTATCGGACTGACAACTTAAGCGACCCCGAATCTTCCAAAGAGTCCTAGTTTCCCTGGGTAAGGAGCAAGTAGACCATGTAGTATATTATTCAATGTATGCCCGCTGGTCGTTACATGGAAGATATGTTCCAAGGTCCATTAAGGAGAACTGATATTCCGACAATTTACAGTGAAGCTTGAAACATTCGAGGCAAGATGTCATGGGAAATTCAATTGGATAACGCTATCACCTATTCTAGGTTCTAATCCGAAAAGCATAGGGCCCATCCGGTACATACACGTGCATATGTACAATAAATAAGTTATCGATCCAGTTCGTGTCTTCTATTTCTCTCCACCTAGCAGGGCCCGCTGCATGGTTATATACTATGGATTAGATTTAGAGAGGGCGGTACTCTAAGTCGGACAAAATGTAAAATCAGCAAGACAAAACATCAACAGTGAAAGAAGGAAAAAAAAAAAAAAAAAAAAAAAAANAATCATGAGTTCGTGGTCCAGGAATCCAGGATCATCGCACTGGCATGTAGCCACTGGGCTTCAGTGCCGATGACCATGTCAGCAGACGTGACCGAGGGCATCGACATAGACTCTGTCGTCCCTAGAGAAGGAGAGAGTTCCGATAATGACCCAATGGGCATCATGTCCATTAATTGCATGCGCGCTTCAAAGTTAGGCATTGGCTGATGTTGTGACACCTCCAGGGTAGTCGGTGGCAGCGCCCGCTTGAGTGAGTTGGACCGGACCCCCGGTTGCGCGGGGGCAACGAACGAGGTTTGATTCGACGCCTGCCTGGGATTCTGGGCCCTGGTGGACAAAGCCTGGCTGGCACGTGGCGCTTGTCGCCGGGTCAGACCTTGTTGGACGTTTTTGACGAGTCGATCGGCCTGGCAACTGACTTCGCGGACGACCTGCGCCGCATTTTTGGCTGCCAAAAAGTGATCACTCACGAGGTCCAGCGTGCGAATCGCCGTCTGCAGCGACTTGCGGGCTGAAGGGGTCGGTGGGCAGACTGAATTGGCAAGCACGAATCCCAGGGTACATAGGATGGCATCCCACTGGTACTGGAAGATGGGTGACCAGCCGCGCAGGAGATCCGTTTCAGACAGCACTTGGTTCAGGATACTGGTGATTGCCATGGCGTGGTTCAAACAGGAGATGTTGTAACCGTCGGTCAGTGGGGTCATGGAAGAGCTCACGGGAGGGAATCGAATAAAGGGACGCAGTGTCGAGATCACAAGATGGTGATAATGGAGCTCCAGGAGGAGACGTTGACGCTGCAGCCAGAGCGGGCTATACGCAGACAGATTCAGCGCGTCCCGATTTGTGGAGAAAGGGTCACTGCCCCCCTTGCGAGGATTACATAGTGACTGCGGCACATTTTGGACCCAGTTGTGAATGGCTGTCATCTCCTGTCCGAGAAACTCGGCCAAAGTCTCAAGGAGGCGCGGGTCCTCATATAGATCCTTTACCTTATCCCCGTTCAGCAACTGGGAACATTTCCGGTTGAATGCTGTCTGCACGCCCTGGACGAGAAATATGAGTTTCGTGCATTGAACATGAAAGCTGAGCCAGCTAATGTCCTCATGATTCGTGAGGAGGACTGTGCCAGATAGCCGGGCGTGCTCGCGATCATCTCCCGGTAGCCCGCAGCTGACATGGGACAGCTGAATGAGGGGCGGCCGACCCAGGGTCATCGAGAGCTGGCTGTCGATCCGATAGAGCGCCCACCAAATTCGGCGCTGTAACTCCTGCTGCTCGGGGGACGTCCCATCCAGCGGGCGGATATGTAACCGCAGCGCGTGGGCGATTCGCAGCGTGGCACCCAGGTTAATATGTGCCGTATTCAGCAGGGAGGTGTTGTACAAGTATACAATCGAATAGATGTGACTTTGAACGACCATGATGGTGGGGTTTTCGAGCTCACTCTGCAGAAGCCTCTGGGCCCTCTGGTAGTAAGTTCGACTGGCCAGATTCGCGTGTTTGGCCTGCCATTCAGAATCTGTATCCCCCTGCTGGTTGTCATCACTGACGAAGAACGTGCTGCTGTACTGCATGCACACTGCCAACAGCACATCGACCAAGGCGGATGGCTTCCGGGTGGACATTCCGTCCGGAGAACTTGACCATAATGACTCATAATATTGCTGAAATTCGCGTTCGTCGAGGATAGGGTATACACAGTGGAAGGACTGCCAGAGCAGATTGAGAAAGTGTTCCTCTTGTGAGCGGGTCAGATCCTCGGCCTCCTCGGTTCCATCCTGAGGCTGATCCGCCTGGCTGGCCGGACTTGCATCCCATCGAGACGGTTGATGGGACGGGGCAATATAATGAAAGCGTGCCATGCATGCCTCCAACTTTGCATCTTCGATTGGCTCGTTAAGTGCTTGGGAGAGATATCGACTGATTCGGGAGACAAAATATGAGGACGACAAGGGCCCGTAGTGAATCTGCCCTGTCTGCTGGAGGCCTTGCCATCCTTCTGTAGTATTGGTGAGCTCAGCAAAGTCGAACGAGGTGTGAGCAGCATCCGACAGTGGTGGCGTCGCGAAACCCGTCTGTGCTTGGATTTCCGCTCCTTCTTTGAGTTTCGCGATCTGATCCTGAAGGTCCTTGACTTTATTTCTTAATCGTTGCATTTCTCTATCGATGTGGATCAGCAGGCCGTTTACGTTCATCCCGATGTGATGGTTTCCTACCGGTTTGCAGCTGGGAGCGAGGTAGCCTCCTGTGGCTTCGTATTGCTGCAAGAGCCTCCTCGATTCTGACAGTTCTGACATGGCTGCTTGTCATCGCATCTGACACGATTGAGCCTACACCAGTCACAAGCCCGAGCGACCTGGTTACGCTTTGGTCGTGGAGCTGTAACAGGCGTGGCTGATCTGTCACGGGAGGCGTCAATCGTGGTATCGAAGTTGGCGGAGAAAGTGGAGTACATGACGGAGGCGTGGGGTGGAGGGACAAAACAAATCAGATATTCATTCAGACCAGTTTCGTTCGACTCCAAATGGCGGTCGGAACCTTAAAAGGAATTTCCCTCTGGGCTACTCAAGACTTGACGGGGGGGAGGGGTCGGAGGGGGGCGCGGTTGATCGCGTAAAGGAAAAAAGAGTTGCGCAGGAGTGGTGTTGGCGTTGGATGCCTGAGGTTTCAGATGTCTGGGCAAACCGACAAAGACAAAAGTACATAACAAAATGCAGGGATGATGGGCTCCCCCTGCACAAAATGAGACTTGCATGAAAAGACCAAGAAGGGAATAAAACACGAGAAAACAGCGGGATACTAGCTACACTAGGTAGGTACAACTCTTATAATTCGTCAGCTATTGTCAGCTATTATCGCGCATCCTTGGCTGAATTCGCCACTTCGCTTTGTTGGAATAATAAGCGAGTCTGATGGTATCATTGGTCCGAAGTCAGAAAGATAAGATATTAGACCTCGCAAGGTTGGACCCTTATAGCCACCAAGGTTAGAGTGGCCAGGGAATCTCATCCTACTGGGTATATACAACATAGACGAGAGACTTTACGAACCTACAAATCTTGCCCAGATTTTTCCAAGTATTGATGAGAAAGCTTAGCTGTATATTGGTAGAATATATAGGGATCGACGTCTATATTGCCAAGGTAGAGAGTACACTAGTGCTATAAGCAATATATAATCCTAGTTATTACAGATCGAATTATTCATGCATTGAAGGAATATATATTGACTAATCGGGAAAGGCATTCAGAAATTATGGAGAAAAGGAACACAGTATAATGAATATCATAAATCAAATCACCTCAAATCACATCACATCCTAGCGTGAGTCCTATACTCCTATCAATCAGCGCTAGAGGGATTCTTCACGATTACGATTCTTCACCCCACGTCCTATCTAGACACTATGAACTCCAATTAAGCCCCAAAGGCGTGCTAGGGCGATCATCTTATCTACAAATTAAGATCCAATCTTTCGGGGATCTTTGAAGGAGTCGGAGTGAGGTCCGCCGTTCCGCTGCTCCTCTCGGCGACATGCATCTGCTGCAGAAACGGAGTTGGCATTATGATCTTACACGAATGCGATTTGCATCAATGTACAGGGATTCAGATCCTTTACAAGGTGAAGTGTCCGAATTGCCTATTTTAGGTACGATGTAGTAGCCATATGGTAATACCAATATGCACTAACAATTATAATTGCACGTGGAATCGGAACAAAGTCTGGGTTTACGGAACACAAGGTTACCTTGCCGCTTTCCCGGGCCTTATGAACTAAACTCCTACGCCGTTGGAGGCAAAAATACCCAATGGATTGACGCGTGGGATGCAAAATGCATGTCAGAATCCGGGACGCTACACCAATCGGGGGTTTCAACTAAATTAAATCCCTCCACATGAAAAACATACTTCATTGATTAATAAACGGATACGGAAGATCTGCAACAAAATAGGGTTTTGATGCCGAGCTAGCATACATAGTAGCATGGATAATTTCACCGGACCTTCGCAAAAATATTCCAAATGGAGGCTGGTGATAACAGGGGGAGGAGGGTAGCGATCACATTCTAGCGTTTATCCTCTAATCTAGCTAATCAAATCGAGCGAACACCTCTTGCGCCTCGGCAAACTCCCGCATAATGGTCTCTCGCTTCTCCGGAGACCGAAGACGAATGACACAGCCATAGTCCTTGGGGCAATGGAGAAACCCTTTACTAGCGCCGGAGTGAGCTGAAATATCACTATCGCTACCGAGGGGTTCGAGGAATTCAAAGGCCCAGAGCAACTTGGCAATGCCGATGATCAAGTTGCGTTCCGCTAAGTGGATGCCCGGACAGATGCGCCGGCCCGCTCCGTAACCAAGGTGGTCTCGGCGCTCGGATCCAGCGTAACCCGAGGCGAGCGCTGGGAAATCAGCGAAGCGTTCAGGCTGGAAATGTTCTGGTTCTTGCCATCGATCACTGTCATGATGCATGCCCCAGACATTGAGAACGATACTCGATCCTTGCGGAATGAGTTTGCCGTCGATGTGGTCATCTGAGGTGGATCGTTAGCCAAGATCTTCTGGGTTTGGTTCCTGATTTTCTTTTTCATCTGTGTCATCTGCAAGAACTACAAGAACTGTAATAACTGCTTGGCGCAGGCAAAATAAAAATGGATTCAAACACACCTTCAGCGACGGCATGTGGAACACCCAATGGGCTGACGGGACGCCACCGGTGAGATTCTTTGATAATCATATTGATATAGGGCAGCTTGGACCAGTCAGACCAAGCCGGGGAGCGGTTATGGCCGATAATGGAGTCGATTTGTGCATGTGCTCTGCAATACCACCCTATTAGCTTTCTCGCTTAAACAGATTAGGATGGAAGGCCCGGTCGGCATACTTGGCCTGAACTTCCGGATATTTAGTCATGGCCTGGATGATCGTCAATATAAGCGAGGACGAAGTGTCGGAGCCTCCTTCCATCAGGACTCCCCCTAGGAATCGTAGCTCATTCTCGGAGAGTGGGGTCTGTTTTAGTGTGTCTAGAACCCGATCCATAAAAGAATCGCGCTGAATACCCCGCTGGCGGCGCTCCTTAACCTGATCTAGCACGGTCTGATACAGCGATTGCATTAAATCACCCACTTCAACTGCCCGATTCCGCCAATTACCCAACATCCACTGTGGCACATAGCGCAGCAGAGCAAATGAGTCGACAGGCGGGGTAGCGCCAAGCTCCTGCACCAAGGACCATTTGTCCATCAGGTAGAATAGTTTCTTCATGTACTCATCGTGGACAGTTTTGGTTCGAATGCCAAAGACAAGCGAGTTGGTGATACTGTTACTGTACCGCTTAGGATGCAGCATGTGATCCTCGGGCATGGTGAGATAGTCATGCAGCATCTGCTTGGCTTCTGCCTCCTGGACCTTCCAGTGGTCACGCTCGCAGCGGGGTTCCATGAAATATTGATGAATGGTTTTACGTAACATGCGCCATCGCTCTCCATACTGCATGACCAAGAGGTGGTCGCTCTGCGTGATAAGGTGGGATACCAGCGATGCTGGTCGGTGGGAGTATATATTGCTCTTCTTGTCCAGCAGTGTCTTGATCAGTTTCTGGTCGCTGATGACAATGGTGGTGTTGTTATATCGTTTCAGCGTGAAGAAACCGCCATACTCCTTTGCCCACCTGGAAAACCTACATTAATCACTTAGCATGCTACCCAGGTACAACCACAGGGGAGTTTCTCTTTACTGAAAATGTGCATCAGACTTTGGAACCTGCAGTTCGTTTCCAAACAGTGGAACGGTTGGAGGACCTGTGCATCTGTTAAATGTGAAACGCCACCTTTTTGTTGCGACAACATACCGTTCGGGAGGTCTGAGGGTCTATGTCCTGCACGGAGGAGATATGTGATGAGAAACAATGCGCTGGTACTGCTTAGCAGTATTGCCAGAAGGTGCGTTGGTGCGAGCTGTAAGATATCCATAGCGTTGATAGATGGCCGGAAAGTGCGCCTCAAAATGTACTTACTGTCTATACTTATGGTCTTCATTCACGCGGGGAAATGGTATGATACCTATTTTAAGATTTTGGGACAGTTTGGGTTCCTAAAGGAGAATCGGAGTCTGCTCGTATAGATCTCTCAAGGCTGAAAACATCTTCTGTGCTTACATCCCGTCCTATCCTGGGTATTATCGATGAAGCGTCTGTAAGACCCTTCGAAATGTGATCTGAACTTTACCTGAATGGACGGTTGGGCGTTAGCTACATGCTTCAGGGATACAAGCTCAGATGCCATATTAGCGCCTGATTTACGATGAGCAACTCCTCTATGTTTGATGGTCTACGTGAAAAGAGGAATTATTATGGACAGGGTGTATAAGAACTATAAGAAATATAGTGCTGATGACAGCCACGTGAAGTCATGTGTTCTTTCCCTCCAGATCATCGTAACCTTGCTGTTTCTCTCTAAACAGATCTCAGTATAGACAGCCAGTGAAAATCCCATCGTGTACTAGTCATACTCAAGAATCAAAGAGTGAAAATACCAAATGAATTCAAATGGACTATGATTCATAAACTAACAGGTGCTGGGAAATTACCCATCTCTACTTGCCCGCATCGTCGATCACTACCCGCCGCTGTGCCCGAGAGCCTAGCTGCTCCAACTTGCTCTCGACCCCTGTAGAGTGACCGTTGGATCCATTCACAGACCCTGGTTGTACCCCATGGAATAGACCCTGCTCATACGCCACTGGGCCTAAGCTCAATGGGGCGGGGGACATATCCTCCGTCCACGGCTCAAACTCAGCATTTTCAGGCTTACCCTTAGGTTCCAGCTCTGCCTGCTTCGTCCAGGATTTCTCCTCCTCGAATGCGGCATGCACCAGATGCCGCTGGAAGAAGGAACCCTTCATCTTGGCGACAGCAAAGTCCCAATCCGTAGTATATTCCCGGAAGAAGGGCTTATATCCTAGGAGTCCTCCAATCCATCGGCCGACAATCACACAGGTCCAGTATCCGACCTGCCGGCGAAAGGGGACCCACGCGGGAGCAGGTGTATAGGCATCTCCGCCATCTTGAATCTACGACCATGTCAGACAAGGGCAAGGGGGATCGTGCACCTAGAATTAATTCTTACCGCGAGGAACTGGATCCAATCAATCCCTCCGTCATGCAACAATGCATCGTGCCAATAGCCGTACCAGTTCTCGAAGAAGACCCGATCGAGCTGGTAGTCATTCCCGGAGTCCGATGCACTCAGGTAGACAGTCATGTTCTCGGGAGAATCTGGGTGAATGAAGAAATTATGCACACTACCCGCCTTGACCGAGATCTCGCCATCTTCTGGGGTGATGCGACGGACAACGCCGTCCACCGAGATACCGAGTACTCCATTCTCGACGCGGAAGTACTCAGTTTGAAATTGGTGAAAATGCGGCGGCGGACCCTTTGGTCGATCGGGACTGTTGATGAGCTTGCGCAGGTTCTCTGGGATCGATCCTTCAATAGTATGGCGGTATGTCTGGCGGAAGAGAAAACAACGGCCTGGTGGAGGTTCGAGGAATTCGGTGGTGAGCAAGCCACCAAATCTAGATGACGGGTCTATATCAGCGACCAAAAAGCCCCTTGCCCCGATAATCAGGACGGAAAAAGGAGCCAATTACATACTTAACAATAGTCGACTGGCCGGCCGAGTAGTGGTATGGCACAAACGGAGCCATCGTTGTTGTGATGCTTGAAGGTTGGCCAACTGGTAAAAATCTGATTTTACAGCAGAGTCATAAATATTGGATCTCTTCTTCTAAAGAATACGTAAAAGCACCCCAGTGTCTCTACTAGCACATATATACTTGATAGCTATCTTATTTGACTGGGCTTCTTCCATGCAGAGTTCCCCATCTGCCTGTTGAACCATGTCAAAATGGCCTGATCAAAACTTGGGGTATCTTTAGTTGTGCATCTTCTCCTCCTCCGGAGTATTTGCACGGAGTTCCCATGAGCTCCCTAAAGGGTGTAGTATCTCATCTAAGACCTTTTGAAGAAATAATCCCCGGCACTCCTTTCGGTTAATCAGCATGCATCCCGTTCAGGCTTAGGGCTGACGGCAGGATGCCCTCAATGTTTCAAATCCCGGATAACGCAGTCGGGATCGCCATTGCCAATGCTTACGGGTGGGGGTAAAATCCTTGGCTCCTATCTATAGATCCCGTTGTCCGTGAGTGAGACTCGTTCTTGCGAAGCTTGTGCGTATTATGGCGTGCAGCCCGAACAGTATCCCCGAACGGGCGAATGGACGAAGATAAAGATGACCCAATTGGGACGCTGGACCGCAGCCGATGTTGCTACTGCTGATTTTCCTTGTGAATGGTCTGGATGTCGGCCTTTCCGGGACGATAAGGAACCCTCGTGGAGGAGGGGGTAGGGGAAGGATTTGCAGATATCGTATTGGAGAACGAGAGGTATAAAGGAGCATCGACAACCGGCAGCTGGGAACATTTTCATGAATAAGCTTGACATTGCTAAGGAGATTGTGTCTCCGAACTGCTACTGTCAAAACATGCATTCTGTTTCGCCTTCTACATACCCCTCTGGGGGAACATCCCCAGCACCAGCTGATACTCCTGGTACTGAGTACAGTGAATATGTTTGTGGTCCCAATCCCCGACGGTTTACATCGTCGTCTGCCACAAGTGTACCTTGGGACTGACAATCAATAGGAATTCTCCAACGACGTGGCCGTGGTTGGAATGGCCTGCCGCGTTGCGGGAGGAAACCACAACCCTGAGCTCCTCTGGCAATCGCTCCTCAGCCAGAAAAGTGCAGTGGGTGAGATTCCAGAGATGCGCTGGGAGCCTTACTATCGTCGGGACCCACGAAATGCAAAGGAACTCAAGAAGACGACGTCGCGTGGTTATTTCCTCGATCGCTTGGAGGACTTTGATTGTCAGTTCTTCGGCATCTCCCCTAAGGAGGCCGAGCAGATGGATCCCCAACAGCGAGTCTCACTTGAGGTGGCCTCAGAGGCACTGGAGGATGCCGGCATTCCCGCCAAGAGCCTGTCTGGGAGTGACACAGCAGTCTTCTGGGGTGTAAACTCAGACGACTACTCCAAGCTAGTGCTGGAGGATCTGCCAAATGTCGAAGCCTGGATGGGCATCGGCACCGCGTATTGTGGCGTGCCCAATCGCATTTCCTATCACCTGAACCTGATGGGACCTAGCACCGCCGTGGATGCGGCCTGTGCATCGTCTCTCGTCGCCGTCCACCATGGAGTTCAAGCCATCCGGCTGGGCGAATCACAGGTGGCGATTGTTGGAGGTGTCAACGCCCTCTGCGGACCAGGCCTGACCCGCGTCCTCGACAAAGCTGGAGCTATCTCATCTGATGGATCTTGCAAGTCATTCGATGATGACGCCCATGGGTACGCTAGAGGCGAAGGCGCCGGCGCCCTCGTCCTTAAAAGTTTGCACCGTGCATTGCTCGATCATGATAACGTCTTGGCCGTTATCAAGGGAAGCGCAGTAGCCCAGGATGGCAAGACAAACGGCATCATGGCCCCCAATGCCAAAGCACAACAGCTAGCGGCGCGAACTGCTCTCAACGTTGCAGGAGTCGACCCTAGCACTGTGCGCTATGTGGAAGCCCATGCCACATCTACACCCCTGGGCGACCCAACTGAAATATCCGCCATCGCAGGCGTGTACGGCACCAACCGCCCCGCCGACGATCCATGCTACATCGGGTCCATCAAGCCCAATATTGGTCACCTGGAAGCTGGTGCAGGCGTCATGGGCTTCATCAAAGCAATCCTGACCATTCAAAAGGGTGTCCTGCCTCCCCAGGCCAACTTGACAAATCTCAATAGCCGGATTGACTGGAAGACGGCTGGCGTGAAGGTCGTCCAAGAGGCCACCCCGTGGCCCTCCTCGGACCCCATCCGTCGGGCAGGTGTTTGCTCGTATGGGTACGGAGGTACCGTTTCTCACGCAGTAATCGAGGAGTTCAATCCTATCCTGCGGCCAGACCCCCTGGATGATGGTGCAGCCACCGGACCAGGCCTTTTGTTGCTGTCAGGCCCCCAGGAGAAACGGTTAGCCCTGCAGGCTAAAACCCTGCGTGAGTGGATGACTGCCGATGGAAAGGATAATAATCTGAGTGAAATTCTCACGACATTGGCTACGCGACGAGATCACCATGACTACCGAGCAGCGCTTGTGGTTGACGACCATCTCGATGCTACCCAGGTCCTGCAAGCACTGGCTAATGGAACCGACCATTCCTTCACGACCCAGAGTCGCGTATTGGGCGCAGACGTCAGCAAGGACGTTGTCTGGGTGTTTTCCGGGCACGGTGCGCAGTGGCCGGACATGGGCAAGCAACTAATTCACAATCCTGTATTCTTCGCAGCCATCCAGCCACTCGATGAGCTGATTCAAGCCGAGATTGGCCTGTCCCCCATAGAGCTGCTCCGCACGGGCGACTTTGAGTCGTCGGATCGGGTGCAAATCCTTACCTATCTCATGCAAATCGGTCTCAGCGCCATCCTTCAGAGCAATGGAATCACTCCACAGGCCGTGATTGGCCACTCAGTGGGCGAAATTGCGGCCAGTGTTGTGGCCGGGGCTTTGACTTCAGCAGAGGGCGCGCTCATTGTGACCCGCCGAGCGTTGTTATACCGACAGGTCATGGGCAAGGGCGGCATGATCCTTGTCAACCTTCCTAGTGCCGAGACCGAAGAGATCTTAGGTCGCCGACAGGACCTGGTTGTGGCCATCGATTCATCGCCTTCGTCCTGCGTGGTGGCTGGAGATAAGGATATTGTCGCCGAGACAGCAGAAGCCTTCAAGGCACGGGGTGTGAAAACATTCACCGTTAAGAGCGACATTGCCTTCCACAGTCCAACCCTGAATGTCCTTATGGATCCTCTGCGAGATGCGCTCGGACAGGCTCTGGCCCCTACCAGTCCCACCATCAAGCTGTATTCCACCGCACTGGTCGACCCTCGCGGCCAGGACCTGCGCGACTTGGAATACTGGACCGGCAACATGGTTAACCGCGTGCGTCTCACCTCGGCCATCCAAGCGGCCGTTGAGGACGGATACCGCCTCTTCCTTGAAGTCTCAACCCATCCAGTGGTGTCTCACTCCATCAACGAGACGCTAATGGACGCAGGCTTGGAGGATTTCGCGGTCATCCCTACTCTTCTACGTAAGAAGCCGACTGAGAAGCATATCTTGCACAGCATTGCACAGCTTCACTGCCGCGGCGCGGAAGTTAACTGGGCAGCGCAGATGCCTGGACGCTGGGCTACTGGATTGCCCACTACCACCTGGATGCATAAGCCCATCTGGCGGAAGATAGAGACTGCGCCCCTCCATACTGGCCTCACGCACGATGTCGAGAAGCACACCCTTCTGGGACAACGCATCCCAGTACCCGGCACCGACACCTTCGTCTACACTAGCCGCCTAGACAACGAAACAAAGCCTTTCCCTGGCAGTCATCCCCTACACGGCACCGAGATCGTTCCCGCAGCGGGTCTGATTAATACTTTCTTGAAGGGCACCGGCGGCCAGATGCTCCAGAACGTGGTGCTCCGCGTTCCCGTTGCCATCAACGCGCCACGGTCTGTCCAGGTCGTGGTCCAGCAGGATCAGGTCAAGGTCGTGTCCCGGCTGATTTCGAGTGATCCCTCGCTGTCGGATGACGATGCCTCCTGGGTCACTCACACCACTGCTTATTGGGATCGCAAGGTTCTGGGTTCCGCAGATCGCATCGACCTCGCGGCCGTCAAAGCGCGACTGACCACCAAACTAGCAGACAACTTCTCAATTGACTACTTGGACAAGGTTGGCGTCTCAGCCATGGGATTCCCATGGGCGGTAACAGAGCACTACCGTGATACCAAGCAGATGCTGGCGCGCGTTGATGTCAATCCCGCTGTCCTTGGAGATGACCCCCTACCCTGGGATTCTTCCTCCTGGGCCCCGGTTCTCGACGCTGCCACCTCTGTCGGTTCTACCGTCTTCCAAACAGCTGCGCTGCGGATGCCAGCCCAGATCGAGCGCGTGGAGATCTTCACCTCGGAGGACCCGCCCAAGATCAGCTACCTCTTCGTCGAGGAGGCCTCTGATTCAGTGCCCACCTCTCACGTTAGCGTGCTGAGCGAGACGGGTGAGGTCCTTGCTAAGTTTACGGCTATGCGCTTCTCCGAGATTGAAGGCACCCCGGGTGTCAGTGGCAGCATGGAGAGTCTCGTGCACCAGATCGCCTGGCCACCGGCAACCCCGGCTGAAGAGCCCTTGCTCATCACGAAGGTGATTCTGGTCTCGCCCGATGCTACCGCGCGGGCCCAGTATGCCGCGACTCTGCCGACCCAGGTGCAGTCCTTCCAATTCTCAACCACAGAGGACTTCTTCAGCAACGCTTCATCCCTCCCCCTCGAGAAGGGAACCGTTGTGGCCTACATCCCCGGTGAGGTCGCCTCGCTGGCAGAGGTTCCCGCTGCATCCGAGTCGTTCACTTGGAACCTGCTTGAGCTGATCAAATTCATCGTCAATGGTTCACTGCCCATCAAAGTCTTCACTCTCACTTCCAGCGTGGGCGATGGTCAAACACCAACCGCCCTGGCCCAGTCCCCATTGATCGGTCTTGCACGAATCATCGCCAGTGAGCACCCCGATCTAGGATCCCTCATCGACATTGAAGAGCCCAAAATCCCCCTGTCGACGATGCGATACATCCAGGGGGCCGACGTCATCCGTATCAGCGACGGAATCGCCCGCGTCTCCCGGTTCCGCAGTCTACCACGCACCAAGCTGCGCCCTGCTAGCGAGGGTCCTCGCCTGCTTCCCCGGCCCGATGGCACATATCTCATCACTGGCGGTCTCGGAATTCTCGGACTCGAGGTCGCTGACTTCCTGGTGGAGAAGGGCGCCAGACGTCTGCTGCTCATCTCGCGACGTGCTCTTCCGCCGCGCCGAACTTGGGATCAGGTCAGCGAGGATCTCCAGCCGACCATCGCCAAGATCCGCCTCTTGGAGAGTCGCGGCGCCTCAGTCCACGTCCTTCCCTTGGACATCACCAAGCCGGATGCGGTTGAGCAGCTGTCCACGGCCCTAGACCGCCTCTCCCTCCCTGCGGTCCAAGGTGTCGTCCACGCTGCCGGCGTCTTGGATAACGAGATGGTATTGCAGACCACGCGTGACGCCTTTAACCGGGTTCTTGCGCCGAAGATCGCGGGTGCGCTAGCCCTGCACGAAGTCTTCCCTCCTAAGAGTGTTGATTTCTTTGTCATGTTCTCCTCTTGTGGAAACCTAGTCGGGTTCACTGGCCAAGCCTCTTACGGCAGTGGCAACGCCTTCTTAGATACACTGGCCACCCACCGGGCACGCCTGGGCGACTCGGGAGCTGTGGCCTTCCAGTGGACTGCATGGAGGGGCCTTGGTATGGGCTCCAGCACGGACTTCATTAACGCGGAATTGGAAGCCAAGGGAATCACAGACGTAACACGCGATGAGGCCTTTGCTGCCTGGCAGCATCTTGCCAAGTATGATATTGACCACGGAGTTGTCTTGCGAAGTCTCGCCATTGATGACGGGGAGCCGGTGCCGGTGCCCATCCTCAATGATATCGTGGTGCGACGCGTGAGCGAGCTCTCTGGCAGCGCGCAGGCAGCTGCTGGCTCCAGTGGCAACGACGCGGTGCCTTCCTCAGGACCGGAGCTCAAGGCGTATCTGGATGAGAAGATCCGCGGCTGTGTGGCCAAGGTGTTGCAGATGACAGCTGAGGATGTGGATTCGAAGGCAGCCCTGGCTGATCTGGGTGTTGACTCTGTCATGACGGTCACTTTGCGTCGCCAGTTACAGCAGACGCTGAAGATCCCCGTGCCCCCAACATTGACGTGGAGTCACCCGACTGTCAGTCATCTGGTGGTTTGGTTTGCCGAGAAGATTGGCAAATGATTGACCTCCATTCCATCCGGTCAGTAGAAGGTCGATGATTATGATGCTTGATATTGTTTCTTATTGTCTTTTCCATGTCTTTATTTATGTTTCATCCTTTTGTATTCCTTTTTGAATATTTCGAGATCCTTAGTTATTAGACTGTTTGAAATATACTTTTTTATGTTCTCCTTGACCTGAAATCTGTTGTCGCAGAAGAAGCTAAAAGGAGAAGACTAATGCGCGTCATTTTGCCAAGCAAAACTAACACGTGACAGGTGTTATGGTCACTTGCAAAGATATCACATGCCCTCCGCGAAGCCCATACATGGGCCCGGACCCCGGGCCCAAAGCCCAACCCAACCCATTGTTGTAGCCCATTCGTAGGGGCCCATAAGGTCCACATTGTAGCCCATTTAGGGGGGTTAACCCTAGTATCTTGTAATCGCTATACAATATTGTATTCTATCCCTTTTACTAGTCGCATGAAATTTAAATTCAGAGTTTATAATAACAATAGCTATATAAGTATATTTCAATTTTAAAGAAAGTCCGATCGGTAGAGGTCGAGATACTGCGAAAAAGACTGATATTAATGTTTTGACAAGATATATATTTAGGATTTGTGTGCTCTCCGTAAGAGTACTACGACTTCGAAGTAAACTTCTTTAATTTATAATTTATTTAAATAACGCGAGATGTAAATATAACTGATAAATGATTTCGAATTGATTAGAATAATGAAGTATTACCCTAAAATAGAGGCTAAAAACGGTATCTAAATGTAAGATAATTAAAGAATTCACGTTTTTGGGAATATTTATATTATTTAGTACTCATTGGGCTTTTACCCCGGGCCTATAGCCTACCGGTGGGCCTACGAACTAAGGCCCAAAACCCAGCCCATTAGTGGGTTGGGGTGGTTTGGGCTTTGGGCTTTGTGAGCTTTGCGGAGGTCTACTCTATAGTGTCCATAAGCTACCATCAATTCTAAGCTATGAAAGATCAATGGCTACAATACAATAATCCATCATAATAATGGACATTTCATCCTGGTTCAAAGTCCGCAAGGATCTGCTCAAGAAGCAAAATACCAAAAATATCAAAACGGGCCTCTTGGGCCCCACGACAAGAACAAAGGAAAGAGACCAACACCATCCCCATGAGGTCTGTTCGTGATAGCGCACGCACACCCATCTACCTCGCACCAACGAAAAAATCTATCGAGCTATCCGAACTGTATTCGCTCTCGGAACCCGACTCCTCAATCAACCCCATTTCCAGTAACACGGCTTTCATGTTCCGAAGATCAAACTGAACACGTTTGTTCACAACCTGAATGTCCGCATACGCAGTCAGTGCCGCCGCAGGGTCACTCATGTGGTACACAGCAGGCTCTTCGAGCGGTGAATGATACCACGCGTAGTCATACGGAGGTCCATGGCGGGGTTGCACGATGTACGAAGTCGGGAGGGGACGATCGGTGTTCTTTTTGTTTGCGGAAGCAAGTGTGCCAGTGGCCTTCTGTTTATCAGGGGTGGTAGGTGCCGCCGCATCTCCAGTTGGGGTTAGGTCTGCAGTATCATCTGACTGACCATCCTTTTCAAGCGCATGTAGAGCCTGTGTTTCTATTTCCCGTTTCATGTTCCCCATATTGAGAAGGGTAGAGACTAGGTGAGCTGCTGGAAAATAGGAGAAACCTAGAAAATACCGCTGATGCGTGGAGGAGGATGAAATAGTAGAGGAGGGGGGAGAAAGGGGTCCTTTAATATAGCTATGGAAGCGCAAACTTTCCCTATATCGTTTGTTTCCTTTGACGTAACCTGCTCTGCAGCTTTGACAATTTTCTGCTGTGAATATATAGAATTGCCATCACCGGCGACAGTATCCCAGGAAATTTTCTTGCAAGTTCAGCTAGAAATACTCTAGCGAGGCTAGTGCAAAGTCCCTGAAATTAATATAGGAGGCTCTGGTAGTATCCGAAGGTTTTCAATCACAAAGAGCCTATTCCTTCTTCAACTGATTCAGTCACCTCTCAAACTCCATCTCATCGTTATATATCTCTTCTATTTGCAGGGTAAGTCTGAGGCTTTTACGCTATTCTACCATTAATATACCTGGACTCAAAGCAGTCAGTATGGAATAATCCGCTGCAGTGATATAAACTGAAGATCCAATTAAAAGGTGGCCCGGGTGCCCAATATCAAGAAACAAATTGCTGGCAAGCAACCAAAAACAAATTCCAAACGTGTAGTGAACAATTACCCTCCAGTCTCCGCCCAATTTCATCCATCAGTTTCGTAACCCGACCATTCAGAAACCACTCTGCCTGGAGTGGCTTCAGCAAGATAGCGTAATGAGCTAAGAGTAGCAATGCCCCCGGATGATTTCGATCTAACAAATCAAAGTATTCGGGCAAAAGCTGTGTCAGCCACGAGTCGAGAGCATCCCAAACAGTCAAAGACGCGCCAAATCGTCGAGTGAACTCAAATGCTTCGGCCAACTTGAGAGCTGCATCGTGGTATATACGCATATCATTATCTAAAAATCTCTGGTCATAACCGACGTCTTCAATTGAATCTGAAATTGCAGACAGCAAGGATACCAGTAAAGGATCACTGGGGTCCGCGGTGATGCCGAGACTATCCCGCCAAAGTGCTGCGAAAGGAGCCAATGGCCCATGTTTTAGTTCAGACCAGACATTACACAGCATGGAACAGCCATTGCGTAAAAGACTAATCCAGTTGGAACACGAGGAGTTGGCTTGCCCTTCACTGCCTAGAAATAGTATATCATCTTCACTTTCGGAGCTTAAGCCATAAACGACGAGGAAGAATGCATAGGCCAGTATTGCTTGGCAATTATTGCTGTCGACATGCATAGTTGCCAAGTGGAATGCTGGAAGTGCTTGGTCTTGGTGTCGTATTGCCTGCAGCATATATGATCTCTGGTTTTGGGGGTTGCTGGAAGCCAGATGGAGTGCTGAACAGGCTAGCATGCCGTGAAGCAGGAACGGGAATTTAGCGGCTAGTTGCGGGACAATAATCTGGAAGACGCTCTCGGTATTCGGGCCACATAATATCGTTTTGTATGTGTGGTTCAGATAATGATCGAAGAGGTGCATGTCCTCGACGCTTAACGAGATATCTTTTTCATAGACAAATAGACTTGATGCTCTTTGCTCCTCGTCTAAATCAGGGGATGTGATAGTCTGCAAATGACAGGTAAGCAATTATTATTAAAAGATTACTTCTTCTACTTACAGTACTTGGAGATTCCTCGCTTGCGCTCATCGGTTCTTCTGAACTATCAGTCGACAACGACAAGAGCGCCGGGTTTGTAAAATAACGCAAGGCATTTCCCCGAAAAAAGGTCTGCAGCGGTACTGAGCACCATCTGCCATCACTTTTAGCAGTAAGATGATGCACAGATGACCAGTGCGCCTTCATTCGCTGGATTGTGATACATAGGTGAGCGCACCCCTCAAAGCGACAGGCCAGCCCGTCGTGGATCGGTAGCGAGTCCACCGGAAATTGGGTCTCGTCTGGTAAGATTATAAAACCAATTTCTGCTAGCTGAAACTGAGAGGCATATTCAACAAATGCTCGACGTTGCAAGCGATTTAAATGGTGTATCTCTTTAAGATGGCGGGTGGTAGCCCCCGGTTGAATGGCGTAGTGGCAGTGCAAGCAAATCAAGACTTGGTGGGCCGGGAGATAGCGTAACAACTGGGATGGAGGGAGTGCTTCGGGGATTACCCCCGAGATCATGATAGAATCAATCGAATTAAATGTGACGGAAGATGGACGATGGGAGAGGGAAGATGGGAACGGCACCGTCGATTTCTCGGACATCAAGCTTAAGCCCGACCAGCCAATCACAGTTGAGAACGGCACCGTCGGTTTTTCTATACATCCCTGGAAGTAAATGTGCCATTCAAGTATTTATACCCTCTGTAGCCCTCTCACAATACATAATTACAACTATCTACTCTCATACTTTCAATAACACCAAGATGTCTTTCTACAATTCTTACCTCGGTTTCCTATACCGGCAATTTCTAGTGTGCCCTCCCAAGGCACCCTCCACCACATCTCTCCAAGGCAAAGCCGGCATAGTGACAGGCTCAAACACTGGCCTAGGCTACCAAGCCTCAGCCCAGCTGCTAAGGCTTGGTCTCTCACATCTCATCTTAGCGGTACGCAGCCTCTCCAAAGGCGAAATAGCGCGCAAATCCCTCCTGGCCTCACTCCCCAAGTCTACCAAGCCTCCCATGGTCGAAGTCTGGGAGCTAGACTTGGCAGACTATGACAGAATTACCAGCTTTGTCAAACGGCTTCAACAGTCTGGCATCTATATTGACTTCGCTCTCCTCAACGCCGGTGTTGCCAACTTCAACTACACCCAGACTCCATCGACATCGCATGAGTCCAGTATCCAGATCAACTGGCTGGGCACTGCTCTGCTTACTCTTTTTCTCCTCTCCAATCTCAACAAACAGGCTATAGCCAATCCTACACGTCTCCGCCCTGTGATCTCAATCGTTGGTAGCGAGACTGCTGCTTGGGCGAAGTTCAAAGAAGCCCAGGTCTCCACTGCGAAGGGCATTCCTCTTATTGAAGTTCTGGATGATAAAACGCATTTCGACATGGGTGATCGATACTACACGTCGAAGCTACTCTATCAGCTCTTTTTCCTGGAGCTTATCCGCAGCCATCGATCTGCTTCCCAGGGTGCGATTCTCAATCTTGTTAACCCTGGCTTTTGCTATGGATCTGAGTTGCATCGTACGGCTGAGGGGGCCTTTGGGGTCGTCCTCTCTGGTATGAAGAGGGTTGTGGGCCGTTCTGTCCCTATGGGTGCTCGGACCCTTGTTCATGCGGTAGTACTGGCTGGTGAGAGCTCGGACGGCAAATATCTGAGTGACTGTAAGATGGCTCCGTTTGCAGGATATGGAGATAGTGATGATGGTCGGAAGATTCAAACTCAGGTGTGGAAGGAGACTGTGGCAGAGCTAAGTCGGTCAGTGGATATGGACAGGATGTTGTTGGATATCTGATGGAGCTATGGTGTTCTGTCTTGCGCTATGATTTCAGGATACAGAATTATAATCCGATACACCTAGTCTCAATTCAATCAAGTATGAAAGAAAGAAAAAGAAGATTTCTGTTCTTCCAAATAAATCAACAGCTTCTAGATTTATTTATTGTATCACTGCGATTTTGTTATTTTTTTTTATCATTGTTGTAGATATTCCTTTTATTGTTCCATTGTATGGTCCGAGTTCATGTAGAGACGAAGCTGCAGTGTATCTATATAGTTACGGTTAGTGACACTCTCCACCCCTTCTTCGATAGTTCACTGATCTTTCCGCAGCTCCGCTCCCCTACAAAATCCCCACTCCTGTATGGCCTTCAAATTACCGCCATGGAGGTAATTATTATTCAAACTTGTGGTTCAAGTAGCTGTAGTTTGAAAAGGATCCATCGTGCCAGTTTATGTCAGGCAAGGAGGAATCAAGGGATTTTGGCCTGGCGGCCATAGGTAAATTGGGATTGGCCACAGCGCCTTCAGCATCGTCAGCCAAATCGGAGTCACATCATCGAAGAAGCGTCTCAAACGGAGCGGTCTAGGTTGAAAAAGATTCATGTAAATTTCTATCATGCTTTGACATGGCAGAGGAACCACATAGCGAACCTTTGCTGGAGAAGGCATCTTGATAGGGTATTTTGTAATATCAAGATTGCGAGTATTAGTGTGCAAGTACTGGCAATCAATGTGCGCATGACTCGGTTACAGATATAGAATTCGATCTAGGGCTGTCCGGTATTGGTAGTCCTTTCTATGGCAGTTTCGATGATGCAGTCACTGCAGGCTCATTGTTAGTTAGAAGGTAAACAAGATTGTCGGGTATCTCGACCTTCTGTTCCAATTCCCGCTTCATGGTCCTTGAATTTGGTGTGCCTGATTGTTTTTCTGATTGGGAGGCGCTCTTGAACAATATTTCTTTTCCCAAAGGCAAGCAGTTTATATGAGATCAACACCAGAGCGGGCTTTCTCATAACGCGCCTTTATAATAAAAACCAGTGAGTAAGATGATTGACAATTTCCAGTAGTTTTCTTCATTCGACTTACATTTGACGCGTGATTTCCTTCCTTTGCCATTGGCATACCTCTCCTGGTATACACTTCTCAATCCTATCTTTGAAAAGATTTCGAGATTCAAAGCATCTCATCTCATCCGGATATTATTTCAGACGATGCACCTCGAAATTAGGCTGAGCCAGCTTCGAAATCAGGCCATCTCGTGGGGTTCTGGTTTTGAGGAGAGAGACGGTGATATTTTGCTGTTCGGCCTGTTTTTGAATTGTTAGAGAGGCTTTGATAACGGGGTTTAACTGGGCACACTAACCTCACTCTCTATCGCTGTCCTCCCTGTAGTAGGTTGGATGTTCCGGTATCCCTTTCCGATTATCCAGTTCATGCTTTTCGAGCTCCGAATGAATCGGCCAGTGAAGAGGGTTGAGGCTTCTTGCCCTTTTTCCTCTCTCTTTGATTGACTCCCAAGCAGATAGTACAAGCTTGCCCTAGAGTATCTCGTTGATGTCACACTTTTCAATGGCTGATGTCAAAGGCTTCTGCTTTTGCTAGGTATCTTTCGAGGCAAGGAAGCCGATATGAATCCAAGTCTGTTGTTGAAAAAATCCCTTCAGTGAGCCACAGAACTCTCGGGTCAGTCTTAAAGCTTTGCATTTTCCTCTTCTTGGAGTGTTTTCGAGAGTGAAGCTGTTCATGGCCAAGAGTCTCCATATATCCTTATAGTATATAAGCAGCATCTCATCATCTGTGTTCCTAATGATCATTTCCATTACTGCGGAAGCAGGGAACAGCAAGTAGGAGTTGAAATGGTGATGGAATCCCCAGTTCAAGGGCCATTCCCAACTCCTACATAAAGCATAAGCAACATCGTGCTCGAAATATGACCATGGCATTAATTCGCGCGCGAAATCGATCTTGTGGAATGCGCTGCTCTTGGTGTGAATTTGCCCTATTCTGAGGCATGCACGATGTTCGAGAAGCAGTTCTCGGGCTGATCGAGGTATGAATCGAGATCGTTGTTCAAGGGACGTAATGGTCTAATAAAATTAATATGTTAGTCTCACTCTCGATTTTCCCTGGATCATGTGGTCTCACAAGATTTATGGAGTGATAGCAGGATATGAGGTCGTGAAACGAAGCCCCATGGACCATCGAGGGAGGTATATCCCACAACTTCCACGGTCCAGTGCAGTTGCTGCTTATTAAGAGGGACCTGGGCTTGACCGAAGCGCTATCCTCACCCGTCCTAGCGCAGCTCATCTCTGTAATTCAGGCCTTCCACTAGCTCCTATTTCTAGGAGGTATTAGCTAAATACTTTGATTTCAAATGGTATGTCATAGGCTTCGAGATCACCTAATTAGATGGAGGATCAAACCCCGGCTTATAATGCGTTGAAGATGTAAGTTTAACTCGGACATCAGGGTTATCCATGGTCCAGGATTGGCCCGAATAGCTATAGGAGTTTTGTGTTCATGGTCTTGCCGAGGGGTGAGTGTCAGAGAAAGTAAGAAGAGAGTTGAGAGGGCGACGGTGGTAAGTGAAGAAGGGAAAATTCTTACCATATTTTCCCCTACTCTATCCTGTGGGATCTCGACAAGCGCCCAACCTAGATCTGACACAGGCATTCCGGGTCCTGAAGACGTTGTCCTGAACCCCGAGCCAGCATCAAAAAGTTCGAAAGACCCATGGTCTGCTTGCTTAAACTCATCGATTTCTCTGAGGAAGTCTTTGAAGATCTGAAGCAGCCTGGTCTTTTGCATGATGGGTGACAAGAAACCAGAATATTGGAGGTTGCTAAAGGTAGGAAGCTGAACACGATGCTTGATAGTGAGGATATTTATATGATGTGTGACTGTAAAAGGAAGAAAAGATTTGTTTGATTAGGAGGCAGGTGACAAACAGGCAGGCACACCCAACATTAGATGTACATGTACATATATGATTAGAGAAAGAGCTCCAATGTACTTGCAATGGACACTACTCATCTATAGTCCATTAGGTCGGGTAAGAAATATTGTAAATCCACCCCTAATCCCCCGGAGACTCGCTAAGCCTTTCAGCCCCCATACCCCCTAAAGTCCCTACTCCCGGGGCCAACTTGATAGTCATACGATTAATATCACCATAACATCCTCATATAATCACATATCCTCAATTACCAACCGATCTAAATCCTACCACCTACCAAACCACCTCCAAAATGGCCTCCGGTCTAATCCTAAACCCCCACCTCCTCCTCCAAACCCTCCCACTAGCAACAAGCACCGGAACCCTCGCACACGCCCTCCTAGAACTAACAACAACCACCGGCTTCCTCCTCCCCTCTCTTCAACCCACCTCCGACAAAATCTTACCGAAATGGTACTCCCACGTCTTCAATCGCGCAGTATGGACAGTCCTCGCGCTGAACCTCGGCACAATAACCTCAGCCGCCGGCACGCTTTTCTTGAATCGCTATTACCCGCGCAAGCCGCTGCAAACGACGGCATTTTACTGGATCGGACTGGCTGGCGCGGTCGGACATTTGGTTTTCGTGCCGTTTGTTATCAACCCCGTTAAGAGGATTGTGGATGATGTTGCTGTTAAGGAGGATTTGGGAGAAAGTGGGGTCGGCGCGTCTGTTGATATGGCGCGTTGGGTGGGGGTTCATCGGGTTAGGATGGTTGTTGCGGATTTGCCAGCTTGGATTGCATTTTTGGGGGCTGTATTGACGTTGTGATTTTGGATATTGGAATTAGTGTTCATGGTATAAATATACTGATATGTATAGTGATTTGTTGAGATGGTATATGTGCTGGTATAAATGGAACGCTTTCTCCGCTCTTTGGGGAATCGAAATGCTAATGTAAATGATACAATATAAACAAACAAAATATATCGCTAGATGAAACAAAAACAAGCCCGAGTCTACAAACTGAAGATTCCACTCCTCTTCTTCCCATGCGGGTAAACAATTAAAGCGGAGATAAACAGCCCAACGGAAATACCAATAGCCGTCTGGATCATACCATATCCCAGTGAGGTAAGCGAGCTATTAGACGTCGCACTATTAGTAGTACTAGAGACATTACCCGACGCAACAGCCTCGGCATACTCCAGTCCCGAAATGATCGATCCACTGGACGCAAGACCCGACGGAACGAGGGTAAAGATACCCGGAATGATAGCAGCAGCCGCATGACCATGCCACACCCGGCTATACAAATTAGCCAGAAGACCAATGGTGAACGCGCCAACAGTATTAGCGACCTGATTCGAGCCGAGCTTCTTCGTGCTAAAGTAATTCGCGACATAGCCACAAACACCCATGAAGATTGTAACCGGCAACTGTTTCGGCTTGGACTGATTAATCAGCGCAGCGAAGAGACAAAACAGCGCGACGAAAGGGAAGTGCTGGATATATTCATTCCCCCACACCTCCGGCAGATTCGAACACGTCGACTCCTTCGTAGCATTGTGGTCCATCAGCCCATAGATCGTCGTGCCGACGGTAACGCCGTACCCGAGGAAGAGCGAGTAGATAATCGTGAAAACGAGACGGATCGATCCCGCGTTCATCTGGTGCGACTGCAGCTCGAGACTACTGCTTAGCACGGCAAAACCTGGTAGGATCATTGCGATTGAAGACTGCGCCATGGCTGAGAAGCAGAAGACGCGCTCGCCGTTGTGCTCGATGCTGCCGAACGCGCGCGCGATGAAGGAGGTGAGGACCGCAGCGGTAACTTCGAGCACGTTTGAGTAGGTTGCTGAGTTTGGCGCGACGACGTACTGCATGAAGCCTACCAAACAGCCGAGGACGAAGATTATGGGTAAGTCGACGGGGCGAGCGCTGAAGGAGTATGGGCCGACGGCGACACTGGCGCAGCCGGTTAGGAAGATGAGCATCCAGCGGTTGTAGCGCGGCTTTCGCTGCATGACCTCGTCTAGGTCGCGGGTTGCTTGTTCGACGCCGATGAGATCGTGGACGACGTTTTTGTAGATGTTGTGTGTCTCGGCGAGACGGGAGAGGTCTAGACCCTGCACTACGCGGATGATTTTTACCTCGGCGGTGCGGGTTAGCGGGTCGTCGAACGACATGAACATGCAACCCGGGATGTACATAAACTGGGCTTTGATGTCCAGTATGTTGGAGGTCATCATCATGTACTCTTCGAGGCGGTGGGTTGGGGCGCCGTATTTCATCAGTGCGCGGCATAGCTGCATGATGTACTGTTGGCGGGCGAGAATGGCGGCAATGTGGACGGTGAGCTTGACGTTTTTCTTGCTCTTGCGCTTTTGCTTCTTTCGTTCTTTGTGATTCACGGGTGGGGGACCCGTGGCTCCGGGCACCCCGACCCGACCCAAATCCATGGATGCATTGATGAGGGAGGAAGTATAGCTGTGGGTTGGTTTGTTGGGGTGGCTACCGTTATACCATTTCAACTTGTCTTTCTTTCCAGCCGGTGTCGCTGTCCCGGATGCTGGGATGCTTTCTGTGTCCAGGTCTGTTTCTGAAGTCGTGGAGACAACACTCATCCGGCTTGCAGTGTGGAGGTTGTTGGCGTATACACGGAGTAACTGTGACAGAAGTCCTCCAGGTGGACCACCGGGTGTTGCCATCCCGTCTGGGGTTCCTGGGGTTGTCGACCCGGAACGGGGTTCTTCGATGCGTGGAGGCCGTGGCTCGGGGTGTAACCCCATTCGTTCCACCAAGAGCCGCGCTTGCGAATCATAATCTGTTCCTGGGAGCCGATCTTCCTCGTCGATTGCCTTACGTGCCTCGAATCCTCGGATATCGTCTGTTGCTCCATAGTACTCTGGTAACATCGGCGAATCCAAGCCATCAGCCTCTCTTTCGGGAGGTCGTCCGAGCTTCTCGGCTATTGTTGCAGCCCGATTGCGAACCCGCTGACTTGCTGTGCGCCATCTTTGGGAAGTCGAGATAGTAGGTTTCAGGCTAACCTCGTCGGTGTGAAGGGCTTCTGTGTTATCGGCATTGTGATCCTTGTCCTCAGTTCGGTCCCTCTCAGCTATATCCGCAGGAGGCGGAGGGATCGGCGGAAACTTTTCCTGCGCATCCGACATGGCGCAGTACGGCAAACTTCAATTCTTCCGGAAGCGGGCGGAAGTGTAGTGGCTTTTGTCCTTTCCAGATGCGAAATATCAGAGAAATAGGTCCTCTTTCAGCAGACCTCCACAGCAGAAAAGCTAATGCGGCAACGGTCTAGCAACAGGGCCCCACAAATGGCCGGACATCTTATAGAGAGGAAAAAAGAGAAAATGGGAAATGGGGGGAAGTGGGTTCCTTTTGTTTGAAATGAGGAGAACCCGGTCTAATTTCAAGGCTCCACGTAATGCAATTTATGCATTGAAGTCATGGCATTGACACGGGACGTTCAGGATTTGTTCCTGGCCTGACCCAATTCGGAACAGCACGTACCCCGGGGGCCCCCTGATAGGCTGATTAATTTCTATCTGATACTTCCAAGAAACTTCCAAACAACTGCAGTGACATCTGACATCTGACATTTGACATCAAAAAACAAGCTTCTCAGCCACTAGTCCACACTAACTTTGTTTCTTGCTGATCTCTACTTTGCTATTAACATACACCACATCAAGACAGCTGTATTGATTCAAATAAATTTCTTAAATTTTCTAAACTTCGAAGAGATCTATGTGAAGCAGAATTTTCTCTGGTCTAGACTGCGCCTCTTCAGGGCTATTATTGGCGTGTGGACCATGGTTCCACCTGAAGAATTGGGATGTTCACGGGATCGTTAGAGATGCTACGGAGTACATATCTAAGATTCTAAAAGAAAACATGCTATGTACTTTTGAGATGAATTTATGAATTATATCAATTATATGAGTTATAGGCACAGATCGTACAATACTAGTCGAAATCAGTTTTACCCAAGTCGCACTAATCCATATTAGGACATTTTTCCGCCCCCATATATCGACGTACCTTTGATGACTCGACATAAATTACATTCTAGCTCCTACTAGTATCTAGTCTAGAATAATCTTGCCCTTCTACCATTTGATGACAGCCTGGCTGTATTTCATCGTACGGTTCTGTCAGATTAATCTCAGTAGATTTTGTCATCATACAACTCACCTCCAAGGTTGTAGGACATCTGCCTTGTCCGCGCCTGCCATCCTTATCCCCCACAACCTCTACCAATACACAACCTTCACCCCAGCACTTCACAGGAAATGACAGCTGAATACCCAGTCTCCTATTTAAGCTGGAATGACAGCGGACCCGTGTCTATCGTTCTAATCCACGGCGCTTTGGTGTCTGGCAGTTGGTGGGACCTCGTGGTCCCCTATCTCTCAACCAAATATCACGTTTTGGCCCCCGACCTACCAGGCCACGGCCAATCGACTCACCAAGAATTCTCAGTGCAGTCTGCCGCAGATTTACTAGCACAACTTATTCGCGACAAGGCAATTGACTCGCACGCACACGTTGTAGGACACAGTCTCGGCGCTCGAGTAGCCATCCAGCTCGCATGTGCCTATCCCGACCTGGTGCAAACAGTATTTGTATCGGGGTTTATGTCAATTCCTCGCACTGTCTTCACGCCTTACATTCCCCGTGCGGTATGGGCGACGCAGCGTATCGAAAATCTGATACCGAGGTCGGTGATTCGATGGGCGATGGATGGTACCGATATTCCTCGTAATCCAAGCTTAAGCACGCTGGCGCTTTGTCAACAAACTATGACGCCTTCAGTCGAATTGCAATGGCCGGCTCCTTGGGCTGCTAGGACTTTGATTGTGGTTGCTGCAAAGGGGGGTCTAGTACCCAGTGGTGATAGCAAGGAGGTTGGCGTGAGGTTAATGAAGACTGGTCGTGAAGGAAATCCTGAGACCATCGCTTACAGTCATCCGGAAATGCGGCATCCATGGAATCGACAAAATCCGCAGCTCTTTGCGGATACCGCTCTGGCTTGGATTGAAAAGGGAAATATACCTGATGGGTTTGAAAAGCTTGTGCATGAATGATGTGAGCGATGAAGTTGTCCGCTAAATGAGTATCATAAATAGCCTAGAGGCTTGAGGGAGGTGTCATTTGTGTCGTAAATCCAGCGTGGTGCTGGAAAGGAACTATACTAGTGGCATGGGGCACTGGGAGATAACAATATCGAAGGGCCGTGCGATATACAATACCATACACAATGCACTCACCCTTTCAATACGTGGGATTCTAGAATCACGTACTTTTGGAGATCTAGATCGCCAAGAGATACAATTACTACAACATACATGTATGCAAGGTGGGTGGAAAGATCTCCTGATACGGATTAGCACGATTTGGGGAGTCCTGGGGAATAAAAAGAGACAGAATAGAAGTAGACTGATTTCGAATATTACTCTGAAGTAGTCCGATATAGTTCTATATCACACCTCGGTAAATCGTTGAGGGTGTTATATCCGTTATGTCCGCAACCATGGGGTAACCTTCAGAGTATTAGAGTTGCTTCAATCTTATTTGGATTTTACATAGATCACTAGAAGGTAATAAGACCAATGGAGGGGATTTTACAACTTCCTTGCTTATTCCACAATGTGTATATATTATACTCCTAATTGATGACCTCAGTGCTGTCATGCCTACACCTATCCGCCACTCCCGACCCCACATCAACATCATTAGTCTCTCGAACTCTTCCTATATCTCTACAATATACACAATCTACATTATACAACCAATATCTACATAAACACCAGCCCAATGCCCACCTCCAAATCGAAATCAACTCCCCTCACATCCCCCGCAACACCAATAGCCCTCCAACCCCACCACCTCCTCTCCCCGCCCGCAGACCTTCTAACCAACACCGCAACAACCCTAAAAATAACACCAACCCAAGACACCAAATCCCCCTCCCCGACCTTCACAGTCCACCGCATCCGCGCACACGAGGACCCCGACAGCCCACACCGCAATGTTCTCCTCTACACCGTGCACGGGAAACCATGGCCGAACACGAGCCGCGTAATCTGCGACGCGGACGGTGTACCGGTGCTCGTATTGCGACGGGTTTGGTTGTCGCGGAAGTGGACAGTTAAACTTCCTGAGCAGCATCATGATCTATTGGTTGCTTCTGTGCCGTCGGCTGACGATGGACCTGGGTCTAGGCTTGGGGTAGGGGGTGGTGGGTTTAGGCTTGAAGTGCGGTTTGCGAATGCGCTTGCTGGTAGGGAGGGGGCCGGGGTTGTTGGAGGGGGAGGGGGAGTGGGAGTGGGGGCTAATTTGTCTGGTTCTGTTGCAGACGAGCCGCCGCCTTATAGTGCTGTTTCTGGAGTTGGAGTTGGAGAAACAAGTGGAAGTGGTCGTTGTGAGGGGAATGCGGGGATGATACAGATGAACGAGAAAGTACATCCACCACCCCCCAGTTCACATTCACAGACTCCAATAGCATCAACACCGAGGCATACAGAGCATCCCCAGTCTCCCTCTATTCTTCCCTCCTACGACTCCGTCCGTCGAGACTCACCTAATTCGCTGCGTGATCTGCTCGATGCCCTCGAGCCGCGGCAGGAGCCGGCGCCGGCTACACCATTTCCCGCATCTGCATCGCAGAATGTCCATGCCAGTACCAGTACAAGTACCAATCTCGGTCTTGCTGATGCAGAGGCCGATGCAACCCCCGGCTCAAAAGTCGAGTTGCGGGTGATGCAGGTAACTACGTTGGGTACGGGTGTGATGATGGGTAGCCAGAAGATTATGGATATCACGCGACATAATGCGATGGATTACAGTAAATCCAAAGTGAGGTTACGGCCGAGGTGGGAGGTTGAGGTTTCCGAGGGTGTTGATTTATTACTGGTGAGTTTTTTTTGTTGCTATTCTATGCAAGCTCGGTTTATGGGGCTTTTCAAGGTGTCCATGTCAACTAACATCCCATGTAGGCAGTGAATATTGCGTTGATTATGGCTGAGTCTGTTTCGACTCTAAGTAGGTGGAAGTAAGCATTTTTCAAGGGAGTTGATTCGTGTAATATAATAGAATTTGCATGAGAGAGTTATGTAGGACTAAACTGCCTTCTCCAATGGGTAAGGATTTTGGATTCTAAAGGATCACCCTGCCCCAACGGCTTCACTTCTCTCGCTCGCCAAGCCTTTTAACCCATACATTCGTCAGGGGAACAGATCTTCTTTTGTTCCGTATTAAGTATTTCGTTGACTCGGATAAGTCTTTCTCGTCAAAAAGGAAAAAACAAAGATAATGTCAAAACAGTGTCAAAACCAGCACTTTCGTAACAGGAATCTCTAATTCCAAAAGCTTACGACTGAAGCTTGGCCATGCGCTTGCTCATGAAGTCAAAGAAGGAGAACTGGCTGGGCTGGTTGCCGTACTCGTACACGAAGCGGCTGGCCAGGTAGCTGCCGAAAATGGCACGGAGGTAGTTCTCAGGGACCTGGGATTGATTAGCGGGATTCAAAAACAAGATAGAAAATAAGGGGGAGAGGGGAAACATACGCGTTCCAAGATGGTCTCCAGACCGATCTTCTCCAACAGACGACGCGGCAGAGCGTCGCTAAGCACAGAGCGACGGAGCGCAACATTGTCCCAAAGCTCAGTCATCTGAAGTTCCTCGTCAAGCTTGGTGATGGCCAAGCTGAGACGGTCACTGAGTACACTGCGGAGCACACCAGTCCGCTCGTGTTCGCGCCAGATGGCCTCGAACTCAAGGGCGGCATTCGACTGGATGACCTCCTGCACGTCGCGGACGTAGGCCTTGTAGAATTCGGGGACGGTGCCGTCCTCGCGGATGCACATGTTCTCTACGAACTCCTCGTCGTTGAAAGACAATGAGGCTAGGACTTCCAGGGAGGAGGATGTCACACCACCCTTGTTGGCGGAGGCATCCTTGTACAGGATGCAGCCGGCCTTCTCGAGGCGCAGCTTGGCGTCCTGGGTGATGAACAGGTTGGCACCTTCGACGATGAAGGGGATGGTGGACTTGTTGTCCTTGATGAGCTTGCCGACGGATGCCAGGTCGATGGACTCGGGGCGGCCACCGCAGGGCACGAATACGTCGAACTTCTCCTGTGACCGCAGGTGGTATGTGTTACGGAAGATCATGCCGTTGTGGACAACCTCGCCGCTGGGAAGCTTGATGTTCTTCTCGTCGACCAGGACGCGGTAGCCCTCGGGAGACAGCTTGGTCATGTCGAACTCTGAAATCATCGCGCGCTTCTTGGCCAGGCGGAGGAGCTCTTCGTGGTTCAGACCGTTCGGGTCGTAGATCACACCGGCTCCATCAACAATGGCTCCGTACTTCTCGTTGGAAAGAAGAATCTCGTTGGATCCAAGATCGCCGTCGGGACCACCGGTCTGCAGCTTGAGCTGTGTGGAGGGATCAATGTTCAGCTTGCGCTGAATTCCGAGCACGTACTGGCGGACCGAGAGGGTGGTCATGCCATAAGCGTCGTGGGGAATACCGCCCAGCTTGGGGCTCTTGCCAGTGAAGAACGACTTCCACCAGGGAGCGCCACGGCCGCGAGCGTGCTCAGTGGCCCAGTTAACGAGCTCAGCAGTGTTCTCGTCGGGACCCATGAAGAGGATCTCGTCCTTGCCGTGCAGGTCAACGATCGGATCCTTGATACCGGGGCTGACCGGGGGGAGGAGCAGATCGAGAATACTGTCAATGTACTTCTCGAAGGCGACCCGCGCCTTGTCCTGGTGATCAGCATCCAAGAGGATGACACCCTTGGCACCGCCTTCGGGAATATCCTTGTTCTTGCGCTGTTGGGTATTGGCCAAGTTGTAGTTCTCATCGAACAACGAGCGAGCGTTGATGTTGTATGCTTCGCCGTTTCGGCTCTTGACGATACGGATACCACCACGAGCGATGTCACGGAACCGCAGGTGGAAACCGCGGAACTCGGAGCTGATGACAAGGAACATGCCGTAGAGGGGCTGGGGGTATTCGTGCTCTGGCAAGAAGTCCGGCTTCAAGCGGAAGCTGAGAGCCACCTTGGTCGGGGTGAAGAAGTTGGTCTTGAGGATGGAGGAATTGAACACGCGGAAGGAGGTCATAACCATCTCGTCGTGCTCATTGAGGGCGGTGCCACGGATGAGCTGCTTCAGCTTGGCACCATCGAGGACCTCGTCGACCTGCAGACGCAGGTAACTGAGGGTGGGGAGGAAGTCATCACCAGTGTCCTGGGTCTGAACGTAGTGGGTGTTGGCGAAGTCAAGGTAGAGCTTGTGGATCAGCTCGGGGTATTTGTTGATAATCTCAAAGATGTAATCCGCAGTGAATGTCTCCGTGCGCAGACGCTTCTTAATCTTTGAGAGCAACTCTGCGTGCACACTGTTGTTGCTATCCAAAAGAGCAGCCAACGAAGTGTATTCTGAGCCCAGACGGTTCAGGAACTGTTGTACGAACACCCAGGCGCAGTGAGCGTAGATTGTTTCCTGCAAGCTCAGACGACCAGTGGCGAAATGGCCCTGGAAGCGATTCTGAGGGATACAGTACAAAAGGGAGACCTCCTTCATGATCTGGTGGATAGCAGCCTCAATGGGAGGGAACTTGGCGGAGATCTCGGAGTTGTCTGAGGGACGCAGGTAGAGCGAAATCACAGTGATTCCGTTGGAGAAATTTTCCAGATACTTGCGCGAGCTGGTCAAACGGTAGTAGTGGTACAGATCCGACAGGGCACTGAACAAGCCCATGGCGGAGCCCTGGCGGTAGGCAATCACCAGACGCTTTTCCCGGCTTCCCTCGATCTCGAACATCTCGATGACGGGACCGGAGCGACCAACGGCCGTGGCGATGATTTCCTGGTAGATCGCCTTGGTGTTGGGGGTGGCCTTCTGCAAGAAACGCTTCTCGCCAATGATATCGATGTTGGTCTCATTCGGTGAGGGGGTGGGGTTGGCGAACTGGCACTTGTACACGAAGTAGCAGCGGAGCTGCTGGCCGTTTTCGCCCGGAAGAGTACTAGGCGAACGGAAGGTCTCCACACGGTAGCTGTTGGCACCCTTGGAGTGGTTGACGTACTTCTCATCGATACGCTGCTCGTAGCGTGGACCATTGACAGAAACGGTACCGGGCTTGCTGGTATCGATATATACAGCATGATCCTCGGCCTCTTTGTCCAGACGAATCTCCAGCTGTTTATCGTCGCGGGCATAGGCGGCGACTTTGGCGGCGTAGAGGGATAGGATCTGGGTCACAATGGCATCCACAGTCTCAGTCTGGAAGTATGTATCGTCGATGCCAAGCTGATTATAGAACCAGCTGGTTTCGGAGACGACAAAGTCCGCAGGGAAGAAGCCCTTCTCCTCCAATATGTCCATAACTGCTGAGAATCAGCCAATTGTATCATCTCGATATCACCAAGCAATTCCACTGACCTTGTTCCATCTGCTTCTGCTTGCCCTCGAAGGTAGCCGCAATGTAGCCCGGGTCCTCCTCGGAGAGCACACGGTGCGGGGTACCGGGAATCCCCAAATGAGTGGGCTGCGGGGAGGGTTGTCGCAAAGCACTTCCAACGACATGATCTAAGTGCTTGTTGTGGGGGGGGAAGCGCTGGAAACCGATGGGGGTGCCAGTGCCGGAGCTTCCATCCTGGCTCGCAAAGAGCTTAGGTTGAGGACGAGAAGGCAAGCTCACGCCATTGCCATTGGGGGTCTCCGACTGTGGGGTAGTTATGGGAGACGACATGATGTGGTGAGGTAAATCTCTTAACACGTAAGAGCAAGAAGATGTAGGAAGCTATATTAAGTCAATGAGCATGAGCTGGGATGAATCATCGAGCACGTGTGATGAGATAAGGCGACACAAAGAATGTTCTTATCTCGACCGACAAGTTGAGATAACAAGCAAGGAGAGAAAGAGAGAGAGAGAGAGAGAGAGAGAACGAAGAGAAGGTAAGAACTTACTGGCAAATACAATGATCACCGATCGTCGCCATGGACTGAAGGTGATAAGACAAGGGGAAAGATAGGTGTTTTTGGAATCAGAAGTAGAAAATCCGGGGAACCCTTGATCCTTTTATACAATAACTTCCAAGGTTGATTGACCAGATTTAATAGTAATTATCTCTATTATCACTATTAATACCTTGATTTGATTTCTATTATTATTACATATCCCAAGTAAAATGTCCCGGAAACCCCTTGGCCAGTTATAACCGATGGTAGGCGGGAGGTTCAACCGTATAGAGGTCTCGAAGCCCATTGAGATCCGCAGTTCCACTTTGTTCCACCCCAAAACGCTCGTTCTATGTCCACTTTTGACTAAGAAGCGGCGATACATTGCACGTTGATTGGAGCTCACCGCCCCTCCTTCCGAGCTCAAGCCGATAGAAAAAAAAATCCCGCTGCGTCATGCGGGCCGATATGAGGGAAAAATTGCCTCAATAGTCTCGAACGTGGCTGAAGCGGAACTAGTTTACAGGAACAGGGGCAAAAAAAAAGAAGCGGGTGACCTGAAAACAGAACAGTACAGGTCACCTGAGATGTCTTATTATAGTACATGAATGATAAATGAGGTATACTTTGTAAAGGAGAACCTTGGAATGATGCGATCTCTATCGAACATCGTGGAATGCAATGTGTCATGGCGAACCCACTCAACTAGGATAAGAGACGTCCGAATTTTTTGGAGATTATGCTAAATGCCTCATTCTCAATGTTCCAGCCCGAATGGCGTACCCCCCAGATCGCATCGTGATCGACTGCCCTACTTATTTAGATCCACTGGTGGCTGTTTCGGTCCGGGGGATTTACGCCATTGGAGGATAGTTTGACGAGTTTGACACGTTTAGCCAAGGCCAATTGCAATTTGATGCAAATCTTTGCAAATATCACCGGCCCGGTGATAGAAAAGCCGGTCATTAACAATAATATCTCGCTAGAACATTCAAAGTATACATGTGTAATGTCATATCTCCAACCGGAGGGGGGCTCTCCAAGGCTGGTACCTGGATGGCTTGCGGGGTAAACATAACTATCATTCTTGTATACAGTGCACACACCTCAGTTGCACATTGCCATTCGTTAGAAATGGTGCATTGAGACCTCTTTACCCCAACAATTCCATCGTGAGCCTTTTTTTTTTTACGCATCCCAAGAAATATTCTGGCGGGGCCTTTACGTGATTGCGGACTCTCGGCAGGCTTGCGATTGGAAGGTCCCGCCGGCCACCGAGATATGAAGTAATTGTTATCCTCAGGGGGAAATGATAATCCGTTCCCGTGACGTAAAATGGCTAATTAGCCTCAGGCATTCATCTGATTTTTTTCAAGTCTGAGGTCTGGGGAGAGCACTCCAGCTCGGATGGCCTTCCGATCCCCCAGATTTTCTTCAATTTACTTCGGCTTATTTGGTTCGCTTGACACATAGAAAGGGTTCCCCATGTTTCCTAAGGTTTCCGGGCCCCTGATTGGTGTCACCATCTGACACGAGCTCAGGCGCCAAGTTCACAACTAGCTGAATATATTTCACTGGTGTTGGCAGTTAGGGGGAAGCTTGTGTGGTCAAGTCCCAAGACAGGACACGGGCATCAGCAGGTCAGAAGATCATCTAGAAGATAGTCAGCTTGCGTCTTTGAAACCATATTCTCTGCAAGGTTGGAAGTTTCATAAAGTTCAGGGCTGCAGTTAAAGTAGGGCTCTCGTTCCTGAAAGATCTTGGGTACAATCCCAAGGGATGGCATCATTAGATAAAGATCTTCGAAGATGTGCAAGGGCCAGAGTAAAACGCGATTCCGAATCTGAAAATTCGTCAGTGCCAATCTGTACGAAGTAGATCGGGCACGTTTCCCAGCAACGCGAAGAGCCGATTATCTGGTCTCGATCTTTTGCGATCGAAGTATCCCCTGCGCATCAAGCGCATCAGCCCTGCGTTCGCCTTATCATCCTTGGCTGGAGGGATACACCAGGGTACTTATTGTAGGAATGCCCAAGGCTGCCTATCACCAAGCCTGGCAACTACAAGGATATCCCGTCTGTTGATAAGTTAGACGAGCCGATCCGACGTGTTGGGTAGACCAACATGGATATTATGTATGCTCAAGTAGTCCGAATGGCTAGTAGCCCATGACCACGTCAGCTCATAATCATGCATCATGGATGCATAGGATGTGTTGTACATCTTGTACCTGAGAAATCTATCCCACAGTTGGCGCCACAAATGTAGAGAATGGTGTATCTAACAACACACTGGGTAGCCAGATCATCCCTCCGCCTCTTTGGCCTATCTCTACAATCTATCGCAGGTACATAGTCAAAGGTATCTTTAAACGAGCGGTGAAGAGGACAAGTCACCATCTGGCCGGCTTATCTTACGTGGTCATGATAAAGACGAAAAGAATGTTATTATCTACAACGTTTCACAGGGTACATGGTGTACATCAATATGCAAGTATATTTGACATAACACAGAAGTTGCTGATACTACAATATGATACTCCGTTGTATATTGGTGTTGCTATTATTATAAGCAGATAGTACGGGGAACCCCATCCGCGATCGAAGGGGGTCCGAAATTGCTGAGAAGTGCGCCTTGGATCACCGTCGGAGACCCGGTACCCAGGAAATCAGGAAATTGGAATGGAATGGACATTCTAGAGATTCTGGAGCAACCCTTTCCCCTTCCCCCCCAGATAATCATACATTGTGAGTATGTAGCAGAGTGGAGTGCATTGCATATTGAAAATAGTCAAATCACTACGGTGGCCCCTTGAATCCGGGGGAGAAGAATTGTGGAGTTCCTTATTCGGAGGTCGATCAACGGTTGAACGGCCAAAGGGGATTTTGGTACTTTTGTGGCTCAACGTTTATGCCCCTGAATTTACCAAGGAGGTAACGGTGAATCGTAGGATTTGGAAAAAGCTAACCCCGGGTCATGGATCGTATCCCTGTGTTGGGCATCGTAAACCCTTTAGGGTCTACTCCGTACGATGTACGATGTAAGCATATCTCAAACAAAGGATTTGATATGCGCCCCAGACTGTTTCGGCCCCTGGTGTGGTCCACTCCTTGCCCTTGAAATTTAGGCGAAGTGCCAAAAATATTCCAGGTTTATTTGTGGCGTTGTGCAATATACCATCTCATACATATGCTGTACAACAGCAAGTTTTGTCAGACGTGATGGATCGGAGTTATACTATAGGCGGATATACCGGTACTTGAGCCCCTTTTACAACATACACCTCAACCCAAGTAAGTACCTTTGGGCAATGTTGTCTCAAAATTTGGAAGATCGTCCTGATTAGCAATGCACCTCGGGAACCGGTGAGCACATCAAAAGGAAAAACTCCTGATTCGAGTATTTTCAAGAGACGGTGAAAATAGCTGTTAGGCATCTCCTACCTATCGGATGATGCCTTTTCCCCGGAAGAGTACAACATATATATTTCCAGGTGTCAAGTAATAGCTCCGATTCCTATTGCCACCGCAACGGAAAAATCCCTTCCATAACCCCGGCAATCTGGTCGCTGGGCCGCGGTTTTTGTTCTCGAAAGGATCGTCGTATTCGCTCTCATGCCGAGGTCAACAGCGAGTTTTCTCCGGGAAACGCTAGAAGGCGTAGAATCATAGAAAACAACCCTTAAACTAGCACTAATTCAGTAGGTCGAAATAGAGCCTTGCCGCTTCACCCGGTTTAATCGGCTTTCGCTAGCTGTTCCCGCTTCTAATCTAGTTGTTTCTATGGCAAATAACGTCAATAACACAATACATAATATCCAATCGATTCATCGATTATCACCCCCTAGTCTTCTCCCCCACACTAACGCGTCAGGCCCCATTTCCTTTGTTTTTTTATTTCTCCCCGACAGGTTTCCGGCTTGAGCACCCGCTGTTCCGATGGGGAATGTTCCCCATCCCTACCTCGATAACTGGGTTATTAGGCGGGTTAGAATGAGGCGAATAGGCTTGGCGGGTAGATCTCTAGGGAGTAAGCATTAGGGCCTGGCCAGGTATGGTTGTACTGGGTACTTTCATGCTTCCCCAGGGAATGTACTCCTCCACACTTTTACGGGGATGGCTTTTTTTTTTTTTAATTTGATTATCTGTTTTGGGTGTCTCATATCTTTTTTTTATATATTATTATTTAAGATAGGAGAAAAAAAAATATAAACGACCCATTGACCCTGAAACCGTCTCACTCTTTCTTCTAGTTTTGTTCATTCACCTGTGCAATTATTTTCAAATACTACATATCAAGCACTGTCAACAGCTTTGATATCATCGTTCACTCTGATCGTCTTCAAGTCTTCTCCCGGAGCAATACTATCGCTGCAATAATCAAGTTAATCAAGCCTTTTCACAACCCCTGTCAAAACTACATCCTATCATCTCAACAACCACAACTCGCTTCTTGCCTCCCATCAACATATATTACCATTACATCTCGCGAATACCCGAACCCAATAATTCCTTTCATCCTTGTAAGTCTAACTCCCGTCACCACTTGCCACATCACATCGCTCCCTCCGACCCGATCCACCGAAACCGGGCCTCGGGCAACTTCGGAGCCACAAGCTTCATCTATACCGGAGCATATGCCAAATCCAAGTACAAAGCACAAGGACTCTGCACAAACAGAAAGCTGACCTTCAACCTCGTGAATCTAGCTCAGAAAAGCAATCCAGCCTTAGACATTTCTCAACTTCCAGCCGAGGTTGTCGATTAAGCCCATACTTTCAAGTATAAACCCCAACAAACCAACAACCTCATTCTTCAACATATTTAAACACTCGACTTTCAAGAGATTTAATCTATCCTCTTAACCTCTACACCTTCGAAATCCAAATAAAAAACAATGGCCACCGTCGCAACCAAAACCGCAACTCCCGTCATGTCTCCTTCCTTCTCCATGTCGCAGGATATCTCCCGCGCCATTACAGCCTCAGCTCAGAGGACAGAAAAGAACCGCTCGATCCTCATCGACGGTATGCCTCCCGCGCCTCCGCCATCGCCCGTTGCCTTCTCCAAGGGCAAGGCTTGCTACAATAATATCCCCAGCTTGAGTCTGGAGTGATTCAACCTCTTCTTCTTTTCTCGGTTTCGGTTCTCCGTTATCACCCATCCTTCTTCAATACGTTCTTCTTCTTCTTGGCCTTTTCAAGAAGAAATTATTGTACCATCATCCAATATTTCCCGATAATGGTCTCGCACACATGGACATATGGGACACTGTTTGGCGGATTTGCTCTGTCCTGTTCGTTGTTCTCCCTCATTTCTGCTATTTGCCCTTCACTTGATATCCGCGATGCTTGTTAGCCTTATGTCTTTCTCTTTGGGTCTTTGTCTTGTTCTTTCTTTGTGATTCTTACCTGTTGGATTTAGCGTGATGCATGGCGGCGCGGACATTTGTTATCTGGTTCTGGTTTTGCGCAATCGGGCGCTTTTAAAAGTCTGGGGAATTGGTGTTCTTAATTTTGCGTTTCCCTAGGCTTTCCAAATCAGAAATGAAACTTGGAGATTTTATTATTGCACTACTTTGTATACTTTTGTGTGACCTTGACAGGGACAGTCAACACCCTTATTGCTATGATTATTGCCCAATATAGTAAACATTACCTATATATTGTACTACCTTCCATGGCTCTCCTGCTAAAACCATAATTTATGGAACCTAGAACTTGGGTAGTCCCGTATTTGCACTCAACCTCGGAAAGTCGAAGATACGGTGCGACCATGACTCACATTGTGGTTTCTAGAACACTACTTTCATGTGTGGGGAATACAAAGTACCGAAGACATGGTACAAGATAGACAACTAGGAGCTCCCAAGTACGGAGTAGTCCGATGCGAGTAACGAACCATCTACTTAGCGCATGTGAGATCTGCCGATCACGACGTCACCAGTCTCACATTGAGGAGGGAGACGAGGTCGCACAACCTGCTCTGTACTCTATTCAGATGTTCTAGATGCCAAAAGGGGTGCACCAGATACAGGATACAATTGGCTCCAAGAGCGATCTAAGTTGTGGGTTGTACATATTTGTTGGGATTGTATCAAGGTTTGCGTGATTATTGATTTTTAGGGGAACAAAGAATTCATTCCTACATTGCGTTTATAGATGACGTTACCATCTAGATCCACCTAGACAGTGAACCAGGTTCATTTTAGCGTAGCTAAGATGGCCCCATTGATGGGACGATAAGTCAAATTGGGTGGGGCTTGTTATCGCCGGTGATTGCTTGTTGTTGGGATGATAGTCCCGGGTTGTGATGCTATTCCTCCGATATTGTAGAAAGAGAGAGTCAGTTGTGGATCTCCATCACGATAGTAGCCTCTTTGCTTCTAGCAAGGAGATCAATATTTTTTCGTCGGTGCTGGTCCTCGGTTCACGGCTCCTGGTACTTCCACGTGACAACACAAGTCGGGCACGTAGTAATAGCCCAGAGACTACAACGCAGATCCAGTGAGATTCCGACATCGGGTAGCTTTTTCAGCTCCGGATGATCGACTCAACGACACAGAGTCTAGACCTAGACCCGAATTCTGTGTCGAGGTCAGCATACTGTCGATCTGCACATTCATGAAGTAAGATCATCGCTGTCAGATGTCACCTCCGAGTCAGACTCAGACGCTGCCTCGTCAGGATTGAGCTCTTGAATCAGCCGCTCAAGAGTCGCCTTAGCATCCAAGTCCCCTCTCGAAGCACGTTCGTTCAGCCGTTCAATCTCAACAAGCTGCGCCTCAGTACGGGCCCAGCCTTGCTGTCTATCCGCGGTATTCACATGCCGGCGTGTACTCATGACCGTGCGAACGATATCACGTTCTCCCTTGGAGTTCTTGATCTGCTGCAACCTGTGGAGGAACTGCGCCTGGTGGGATGGGGCTGCGGGACGACGGGGTGCGCCAAGGGGTTCTGCGATCTGAGAGGACACGGACTCTGGGGTAGGTGCTGTGTTTGAGGGTCCCTCGGTGAAACCTTGAGCTGGCCCTGGCCCAGCACTGGGGGCGAGGTGTGCCTTCCGACCGAGGATCTTCACCGTGTTGGCGGCTAGAAGCTCATAGGAGGGTCCACGGTGTAGCGGTGGAGGGAAGTGGTTATCCGGGTCGGTTTCTGCATCTGGACTGGCGAAAACCAGTTCAGTACCAATTTGATCGGCCCAGGAGCAACTGAACATTTGGTTGTAGTATGAAATAATTGGGTTGCTCGTGTGGAGGTCGAGAATTTGAATTCGTTCGTTCGGGAGATTGCCTGTCTCAGCGCTCTCGATCGGAGGATAAGCTTCGCTTGGAAACCCTTGGCTCATGTAATCTGCAGGATTCTGTGTATCTTCCAGAGATGCTGCTTCCTTCGGACGACGGCGTGGGGGGCGCACTGGGCCATGGTGGGCGGTCAGGTCCAGGTTAAGATAAAAGCTCTATCATTTGATTAGCAGAGATGAGAGAAGACAAGGTCAGTGATTCTCACTTCGGTCTCTGTGCCATATTCGTATTCATATTCTCCATCTGATTCGGAGTCAACCATTGTATGATGAATTGCAAGCTCGAGCCCTGTCTGAATGGTCTGGAACGAAAAGTCCAGATAAGAGATAAAGATGAGTCAGCTTTCTGCAAGCGGTGAGATCGTCAGAGTTCCCCTCTCTTTCCCGATTGGGACATAATCAACATAATGAGGACCTGGTGGCAAATGGCATAAACATGTGCATGTTTTTATGTTTCAGAGGGGGTTTTACGTAGATAATTAACTTTTTTTTTAAATTTTTTTGTTCTCGAACATAATGTACTATTAAATATCATTTTCTATGTTGGAGGTACATCTGTATACTTATTCCATGATTATACAATCTTGTCTAGAACCCTGGAAGTCCAGTGGTGCCCAGCCCAGTTCCCTCAGCCTTATGAAAAAAAAAAAAACATCCCACAATCTCCTTCACCGCAACAACTTAAACAACTTGGACAACTTGGTCCACTTGGTCCACTTGGACAATGGGATCATCTCTTCGTAAGTTCCCGTCGCTTCCGCTCCGGCTCTGGACGGATAAGCATATGTACTCGGTATATGGCATCCGCCTTGGCTATGACTTCTATGCATTTCCGCTCGCTCCCGGTGTGACTAGTAATTTGAACCGCTCTTGCCGTCCTCTTCTTTTTATTATTCCTTTTTTGGTATCTTTATTGGGAAATTCTAGCTGGACTCGGAAAACCGGGCTCGCTAACAAAGGGACTGTGTGATTTTATATAGGTAACCCCGCGGTCCTGTTGTGTGCCCTCCTTGTCCCAACTCTCGTTATCTCTCGTCCCACCATAGTTCCTGGGGAATGCCCGACCGCTGCAGCCCTACCACTTGACTCCCACTGCATTGAACCCCTAGCTTCGACTGGAATTCCCAAAATCGCAGTCTATGAACATACCCCACATAGTTCAGCCTTGACAGTCTATGTCGACTCGCTTCAGCAGATGACCCGGAAGGCCAAGGCAACCATTGCCGTGCTCTCGACCCTGATCGCTTATGTATCCATCAACAGCATAATCCACGTACTCCGGCCGGCTGCTTTTGTCTGGTCTGCGGAGGACTGGGAGGAGCGGAGCTGGATCGCGAGCTCGCGCTCGTGGTTCGACCGCAAATCCTGTCGATGGCTCGGCATCTGTGGTGCGGCCCATATACAAACCGTACACGGGGAATTTGGAAATCGCGATCCCGCGGAGTGGGTAAATGCGCAAGATGCCGAGCCAGAGGCACCCTGGCGGTCCTTTTGGCTTAGCGGGACTAGTGAGTCCGAGTGGGATGCCGAAGAGCGGGCTCGGCGGCAGATCCCGGACTATGTTTTCCACTATGCCCCACTCGTTCACCTTTATTCTGGCGAGCAGTTCTGGCCGGGGGATATCGCAGAGCACCTGCATCATACTACTCCGACCCTAAATTACACTCCGATTCAGGCTCAATGGGACCATCCGACGCTGGCCGATCTGGACGAGTTGAACAAGTGGGGGCCAAGGCACGTTTTCTTGACGAGCAATGATGATGTACAGACGCGTCCACCATGGCTGGAGGGCGATAGGAATATCCCGCAAACAGATGAGAATCATAAAGAAGAATCCTGGGCTGATTGGGATGGTCGAATCGATGGTGATATTCCCGGTGACACGGAGGAAGATCGTGCCAAGTGGTATGATTTTTACCAATTGCAACAAGAGGCTGCCGCTGTACATGAATCCAACGCCGATGAACATTTTCAAGCTCAGCAAATACTCAAAGAGGAGATTCGCAGGCGTTATGGAGGAGAGGAGATCTACGATGGTGGTGCCGGTGGTCGAAGCGATGCCCCTGCAATCCTAGTGGTGATGGACAAAGGCAACGGAATCGTCGATGCGTTCTGGTTCTACTTTTACAGCTTCAACCTCGGTAACACTGTTGTCAACGTGCGGTTTGGCAATCATGTCGGCGACTGGGAGCATTGTCTGGTGCGATTTCACAACGGCAAACCGAAAGCGCTCTTCTTCAGTGCTCACCAGGGCGGAGAGGCTTACAGCTATGAAGCCGTTGAGAAGATCGGACAACGGGTAAGGACCTAATGGCACAAGCTGCAAGTACAAATTCACTGACTTTACCTTACCAGCCCGTCATCTACTCTGCTGAGGGCAGCCATGCCATGTACGCCACGGCCGGAGTGCATGAGTACCTTCTCCCCTGGGGATTGCTACACGATGTAACTGACCGCGGTCCACTCTGGGATCCCCTGCTCAACTCGCAGGCCTACACTTATGACTTCGACAGCGAGAATCTGCGGGCATCCACCTTCAGCCCCTCCGCCCCAACAGAATGGTTCCATTACAGGGGCCACTGGGGTGACAAGTTCTACCCACTAGGTGATACTCGTCAGTATCGATTTGCAGGCCAATACCACTTCGTGAACGGACCGCTTGGTCCGAAGTTCAAGCATCTTGACCGCCACAAAGTGTGTCAGGGCCCTGATCGTTCTCCCTGTGTCATTAAGAACTATATCGAAAAAGGGAAGCGACCTCGGCGGTGGGGCTCAAGCAGACCGGGAGAGTAGCTTTAGTAGAGATCCATTCAATCTCTCAAATCTCGCTCATCTCTTACGGTTACGAATTACTTGCCCATGCCCCCCCCCCCCC